GTGCAGCAGAAGTTCACCAGTAATATGTATTTAAAAATCAGCAGGAAAAAANAGTTTATAGCAGCAGTTTTTTAGGAAAATATTAACAGGAAATGCAATCTACCTATTTATGAAAAAAATCTCGCTGGGAGTGCAGCAGAAGTTCACCAGTAATATGTATTTAAAAATCAGCAGGAAAAAATAAGTATGGTAACTCTGCCTGTGGCTGGCCCCCATTGTGGTGGTCAACATTCCCGGACAGCTTAAGCCGGCTTAAACCTCTTGCGTCGTTTTCTCCTGGTTGATCTTCCGTACGCCGAGCCATGGAGGCTAAACCGAAGTCATTGCTGCATATTCTAGCTGAGGTATTTTCTCGATTACCCTCCGCACATTTTCCCCCCGAATATTGGCACCAAAAAGTGGGGTGCACTTTTTACTTGCGAAGTTTCCAAAACTCCTGTGCGCATTGAGTGAAAAATTCTAAATTAATAATATTTATTTTTTTCAATTCTTGAATCGTAAACTTTTTTTTACTGAAAGCCCGGTTTTTGCGTTTCTGTGTAAGAACGTATTTTTATTAAATTCAGCGCCTCAAAATTGAGGGTGCGCGTCTAATGTTGGGGCATTTCAGTAAGCATCGTATTTTTTTCTGTGTATATAAATTTTTGAAGGAACATGTTTTGCTTGTCTTGTTGGTCCATTGCGTTTATTTTTATTAAAAAGAGAATCGATCAAGGCGTTTATTTTTTTTTTATATCCAGCGAGAGTGATAAACCAGACTCGTTTATAGGGTAGTCCATATTTCCTTGAAAAAAGAATTTTTTTTTTAATCCCATGGTGCTTAAAAATGAAGAAACTTCGCAAGTAACGTTTTTGAGCGCGGTTATTTTTACTGCCGTTTATACTCGAGTAAATGTGGGATACAGTATACAGTATGCAACACTATATGAAAGATGACTGCAACAAAGATGGTCGGCATTTTTTATTTTTGCAATGATCCATCCTTGGTCAACGCTGAAAGACTAATGTTTGTTTGTCAGACTGGTTGTGAGACGCTTTAATGCGTGTGTAATTAGGACAACCCTTTTATTGAAACCCGTCAGTCCTGTTATGAAAGTACATTTCCTCTTTCTCTCCGGGGATAGCTCTCTAATGAGCGTGCTGGTTTAGTCAATGCAATTTGAATAATCGAATTTGTTCATTGGGAATATTTCAATGAGGATTCTCTCTTTTTTCAGCTTCGTAACTTGGATGCTTCGGAGGGTACTGCTAAAAAAATATGTAAAAATTTATTTTGTCCGCCGCGTACATTCTTGGTTAATCAACGCAATTTAGTTTTTGCATTGTATATGAGAAACTGAATTCAGCTTATTGTGACACCCGAATATCCAAAACATTTGATGATGGAATGCAATCGCAAATTTACGCTTCTTTCAAGCGATGCATAGTTTCTCGCGCAGTTCCGTGACAGGCTGCGTGACTCATTTTTAATTCACGATGTCAAAAGAAAATCTGGAAGATTGTTGGCTAATGAGAAATTATTGCGCTCGTGATCTTTGGGAGGAAAACGTGTGGTACTATTCCGTGACGTTGTACAAAATTTACCGACGAAAGGCAAAACTTTGTATATCAGCATCTTTGAAATGTCGTTCAAGAATGTCGTTTCCTGGTTATTTACGTTATTTTTATTCCAATTCCATTTGAAAACGGAACCATTTTTCAGCGCGAACGGCTGCTGTACGAAATGTTTGTATATTTTTAAAGGTATTTTAGAATACTGTACGGGGAATTGAGGTTTGATTTGGCGAAATATTTTATATGATAACAGACATGACTTAGGTCTGTGCCATTAAAATAGACATGGGGCACATGATCAATATTGGAAACATCTGCATGGCGCAGCCTGTTGAAAATGCATGAGGTCTGCCACATGAAAATAGACATACTGTATTATATATGCACAAAATTGGCAAATTCTGCATGGTAAAAAATATATAAGGTCTGCGCCATAAGAACAGACATGGCACAGACTGAAAAAATGTATAAAGTCTATGCCATGAAAATGGATATTGTGCTTAGGCACATTCATTACAGTTACTGTATTACAAGCAAACCTCAATAAGTCAAACCTCCCAAAGTCAAATTCCTCTCTAAGTCAAATTTTTTTCATGCCCCTGTCTAAATTCACTTAGGATCAATACATTCAAAACCTCCCCAACTCAAATTCTTTTTTTCCAAAACCTCTCTCAGTTGAATTTTCTGAGGCCTTCTGGTTATTATTTTTGTGAAATATGAAAGAGAAAATGATTAAAACAAACAAATTGATGCATCTTACAATTTTTTTCTACTAATCCTCAAAGCAAGAATTATTTTTTCCTTAATTCAAAACCTGGAAAAATCAAAACCTCCCTGAGTCAAAACCTCTCCATGTCAAATTTTTTTCCTTGTTCCTTAGAAATTCATAGCCCAGTAATGGTGTACAGTATATTAGCTCTGGTTCCAGATTGCAATGTTTCACAAAAGCACAAAAAAATGTTCAACTCTAGAGGAGCAATTTAAAATTTTCATAAATCAAAACCTCCCTGAGTCAAAACCTCTCCATGTCAATTTTTTTTCCTTGTTCCTTAGAAATTCATAGCCCAGTAATGGTGTACAGTATATTAGCTCTGGTTCCAGATTGCAATGTTTCATAAAAGCTCAAAAAAATGTTCATCTATAGAGGAGCAATTTAAAATTCATATCTAAATTTGTCCATTTAACATTGTCACAATGAGTGATCAGCCCAGGTACTCGTAAAATTGCTCTAGGTGAAAAATGGCAATGCTCAAAATGATATAAATGTCCAGGGTGACAAACACCTAGCAAATTGTTTCATGATTTGGTTTTCCAGAATTTGTCTTATAATGACCAGGGAAGCTAATAAATGAAATGCAATCAACCTATGAAGAGACATAAAGGTTTTAATACACTATGAAACAAGAACTGTTTATATTTCAATTTTATATTTATAAATCTTCTTAGTTTGCAGCAATTTTTAAAGAAAATATTAACAGGAAGAGCTTTATGATTGAGATTATAGCAGCAATTTTTCCAAAAATGGTTCGATTGCATTTACTGTTGATATTTTCGTAAAAAACTGCTGCTTTAATTTAGGGGCTGGGAGTGCAGCAGAAATTCAAAAATAATATGTATTTAAAATTTTTTTTATCATATTTATACATCTCTTCCTGTTGATATTTTTGTAAATTTTCTCGTAGAATTTTTGTAGCAGCAGTTTTTTAGACGTGAAGGTTGTAATACACTATGAAACAAGCACTGTTTATATTTCAATTTTATATATAAAAATCTTCATAGTTTATAGCAGCAGTTTTTTTAGGAAAATATTAACAGGAAATGCAATCTACCTATTTTTGGAAAAAAATCTCCCTGGGAGTGCAGCATAACTTCACCAATAATATGCATTTAAAAATCAGCAGGAAAAAAGAAGTTTGGTAACTGCCAGTGGCTGGCCCCTATTGTGGTGGTCAACATTCCCGGACAGCTTAAACCGGCTTAAACCTCTTGCGTCGTTTTCTCCTGGTTGATCTTCCGTACGCCGTGCGGATTGCCAGAAAAAACTGCGTCAATAGTGCAAAGATTATCAAAGCCGACTTATTGAATGCTCGGATTTTTTGGAAAATATTTCAAAGACTCTTAATTTTTTGTAAATAAAAACTGTTCCCCGTTTTTTCTTTTTTTTGAATTTTATTGTAATCTTTTGTTATTTGTTTTGTTTCATTTTTTTTAAATCATTGTTTTTCTTCAAGAGCTTGTGTACTTCCCTCAATCAGTAGCAAAGTAATGAAGTTTAACCAGCGGCAACTACCAAACACTACAAGTCCTGAAAAAAAGGTTGGGCGGGGCTTTTGTTACAGCTGTGCGCGGGTATGGCGGGGATTTTGTGTCAGGGCTATTGTCGCGCGGGGCTTTTGTGTCCCGGGCTTTCGTCGTGCAGGGATAGTGACGGTTTCCCCAGCCAAGCGTAGCGGAAATACATTAGCTTAAAAGGGTTGTGCGTAAAGTGAAGGGTGTTGTGGTCGTTAATATGACTACAAAGGTAATAATAATTTAGGAAAGAAATTTCGTCAGGGATACTCAAGTCGTGGCTTTTTCTGAATGCAATCAACGGGCACGAATTTGACAGTCCAAGCTGCCATTATAGGAAAATCGTCGGAAGAAGAAAACTTTTCTGCTTTGGATTCCATACAGTCGTTCGGCGGATTCGGATCAGGACTCTTCGGTACACGAATAATTTCTTTGGAGGGTAAATTACATTACTGACAAAACTTGAAAATTTTTTTTTATTTATTTATTTTAACGTGCGTGCAAATGTGTCAACGGCACGCAATGTCGATTCCCCGATTCCCACGCATTTGAAATGAACCAAAATGGAACCAGCAAAATCAACAGTTCAACACACAACTCAACCCAATAAAAAAAAAAACTTCTTCCTTATCACTGGACTATGTAACTTTTCGAACCCCTTCAAACCTTGAAAATAAAGCACAGGTAATCCCTGATCTTTTTTCAACTTTCAAGACAAAATACTCCAAAATTTTACGATTGCCTTAATATTCGGAAATTAATAATATACCAACAGTGCTGACAGGACAAGTTCGAATATTTTGATCCTTTTACATGTAAAAGACGCAGCAGAATGTGACTCGGGGTCGTTATTCCCAAAATACACAAAAAAGAGGAACAGAAAATGCACAAAAATGTCGTATTTAATTTAAGGAAGCACAAATATTCCTCACCTTCATTGAGTTGATGGCGGTCCAAGCATCTTCTAGAGTATCAATTGGAACATAAACCGTTTCACCAGGAAGTCTCAGCTGATCGATGATCACAAGGCGACCATCTTCGTATTTTATGGCATCCAAAACCATGGTACGGTACTGAATCAAATCTGGTAAGATACCTTTTCGAAAACATCAACAAATATCAAAAGACAGGAACCTACAAGAAACTCGAGCTGAAAGTATGCACGCTTCTCACAACTCGGTTCCATTTGTCTAAAAATCGGTTCCCGGCGACTTGGGCATACAAAAAAAATTGCAATCAATAACGAGACGCTTGATCCATAATCCACGACTTTACGGGCACCAGAGAATCTGTCAAAGTCAATCCAATCCCTCTCGCCAACGCAATTGGCAAGAACTGAGCTCTGTACAGCCGATACAAGGCATCAATGCCCAACATCTTCGTCAAATTCTTCCGCTGTCGTTCCGACTCGTACGGATACAAGCTTGCCGTTGTTCCGATATCTCCACCCAGACCCAATGCATCTCCAACAACCCGATGCAAACAGTCCACGTCGCCGAAACCCAAATTGACGCCCATTCCGGCCATGGGATGAACTCGATGGGCTGCATCGCCAATCAAAACCCCACGAGGAGCCACGTAGTTGACGGCATGTGCAGCTGCTATCGGAAATGAAGCCCGTTTGCTGACTGACACAGCCCGAGGGGGTAATTGGGCTACAGATGGTGGATTGGTAACCTGCAGATGCCGGATAGTAAGTACGGAACTTTAAAGTTGAACCTCTTCAATTCGAATGCCACGGGATAAAAAAAAAGACTCAGGGAGGTTTCGAGTTACAGAAAGCCTTCTGGGGGGACATATGAGGATAGGATTGAAGGAAAGTGTAATTGGCAATATTCTGAACCTGAGATTGTTTTGTAAATCAACTCACAGGAGGCTGAACTTGGAGGCACGAGTTCGTTTGTCCAATTAGTCATTTAAGATTTGTATTGCTTTTCTTTTCCCGGAGTCAATATAATGTAGCTGAACCTCGATAACTCATTTTTTTCGAGTCACCGTCTCAATTTCACCATAAATAAAACCTCCCTAACTCGAAGACTTTTCCTCTCAAACCTCCGTGATTCGAAATTTTGGAGGTTTTTCGGCTATTATTTTCTCAACACAGGAAAGAAAAAAAAGCAATAAAAAAGTAATTTGATGTGTTTAATTGTAAGAAAAATAATAATCGGGGAAATTAACCCTTGCGTCCAATTTCAGCATCCTGTCAACTCGTTTAGGAAGCAATTCAAGGCGGAGAATATCACCATCCACAATTCCTCTAATTCTTTCAAGTTTCCCACAAAAAAAATGCTTGTTTCCATTAGTCAAAACCTTCCTGAATCGACTTTCTTTGCTGGAATCTTGAAATTCGACTGTAATCGCGAAGAGGTCTACCAAAAATTCAAGTTACGGAAATTGGAGGAGAAAAACCTTCGAGTTGGGGAGATCTTTGAAGTACTGGTTCCCAGGGAATTTAGACTGGGACTTGGGGAAAATTCAACTTGGAGAAGTTCGAGTTATCGAGGTTCAACTGTAACGGGCATTTACCCGACGAAACAAAATTGAAACGCTGCCTAGAAATTCATCACACTGACTTGTCGGGCGAATTTCATGACACTGTCCACCAGGGGCGACATGGCATCGTCGTTCGCCGACACAAAGGCATCGTTCACAGCAAGCAAAAAGTCCTCATCTGACAACTTCATCAAATCCTTGGCGTGATTCCTCGTGGTAGACCATATCAAATTAGACATCGAAGTCGTCAGAGGCAGATACGCAATCGGTCCAGTCTTGAGAAACCTTTGCCATCCAATCTCGTTCTCCACGCAGTCGAGACTGAAGTTCACATTGGCAACCACGGCTTGCTGGTCGTATTCCCAAGTCAAAGAACGAGCGGAGTTCGGCATGGCCTTTCGCACCAAGGACTTTGCTCCATCTGCACCCACGACAAGCGAAGCCGTGATTTCATCTCCTTCGAGAGTCAATTTCGCGACTGAAGAAGAATCCCGGGGTAATTCGACAGCTTTCAAATTAGCCCCGTAGCGAAACTCGACGTCGCCGTCTTTCAGGGCAATTTTCATGACTCGAATCAACTCGTCGTTTTCGACAACTCTCGCGATTTCGTCCGACTCAAAAGTGATCCTCGAGTCCGCAATCACAGATTCCCAGACTTGCAAACTTCTGATCGTTCCCCAACGATGCACGTGTTCCCAGGCTCCGTTGCGTTCCAGGAATCGCACAGTGGATGGGTTCAAGGCTACCGAACGCAGTCCGTATGGGGCTTCGTTGGGAACTGGGTCAGTTTTCGGAGGCTTTCCTTGTTCAATGACTACGACCCTTTGGGCGCGGGTTGTGGGATCCCGCGCGAACGCCAACGCCGCCGCGAGACCGACCATTCCTCCGCCACAAATGACGACATCGTAGTGGTTGCTCGCTGACGAAAACTGTCTCACCATTCGTCTTCCGACGACACCCGGAAAGCTGACAAATAATCGAATCATTCTAATTGGAAGGCTCAAGCACTTCTTCTTTCGACCTATGAAACCAATCAACAATGCGAAATCTTTCAACCGACGACTTCGAAGAAATTTTTAGCATCAAAATAAATAAAAAAACCGAAAACTTGATCGAATAAAATCCAGCACGTCAGAGGAACGTTCTAAAATGAGTGTATTCTGATCGTCACAGATCAATTTATCACTGCAATAATTTTCGAATTTTGAGCGGTAAGCCCCTCACTAAAAATCTCATTTAGAGACGTTGATGATGTGGGAGAAAAAAAAAATAACACATCATAAAACCCAACAATATCTCATTATCGTGTTTTCTCAGAAATAAGACCCAGTTAGCAATTTAAAATATTCCTTCAGCTCACGCTCTTCAGCTTTTCGGTGATCTGCACATTTATCGACGCTAGAAAAATCAATTAATTTTGGATACGATCATTTCATCTTCGAAAGGGGAATGTTCTCAGAATGCTCAAATTTGAAGTCTGAATATTTCGGTACTGATGAAAACTTGACACAAAAATTTATTACAGCACTATCATTCACAGAGCTAAAAACTGCACTAGCCGCACGGATGATCAAGAAGCGTCCCGAATATTAAAAATCTAGTTTTGCAGGTTTATTTAAGCGTCATGCACGTACGATTGTATCAGACTGTGTGAAGTACGTGTACTTAATCATTTGCGCATCATAACAAAACCTCAATTATAACGTCCCACCATTTAAGAACATTTCAATGATCTTGACAGGGTTAATTTTCAAATAGGTCTTATTTTCAAGGAAACACGGAACACGATAATTACAACATAAGTTGAATGAAATGAATACTAAATCAATTCGAAGAGTCGATTACGACCCGTAAATAATTTTAACTCAGCACATTTCTTCGACAGGAGGAAACCGAGAAAAAAGAGCGGAAAATACAACCTCTTGGAATCGTATCGCGAAAGGTTGGAAATTCTGGAGGCTCTTCAAAGCGGAAAAGGAGCTTCACAAAGCAGACAGAGAGAAAAAAATCCAGTCACACTTTCACAAAGAAGGTCGAACAGCCACCGCAAATGGAGATCAGGAATGGAAACATTACAAGATTTCCCAGTTGGTTTGACGGAAAAGCTCTCTGTAAGAGTGGAAATTCGGCGGACAGACCCCGTTCTTGAAAGCTTCCCGCAAACGCTTGCAGTATACCATCACATTGTCCGCTTTCGGTTGTATCGCCGGTAATCCACCACTCGCTAAAACATCAAAAGAAGAAGAAAAAAACTGAAGGGAGGCACAATCTTTTTCTAATATCCAGAGTTAATACCTGGAATGACCAAACTGGAAAACTCGGACACTATCAAGTTTTTGATTGCCTTTGAGTAGGCTTCACAAGCCGCAGTCAGGGCCTCTCGCTCCTTCGTTTCTCCATCCAAAAGCGAAACGGCGCCATTCAGCCGCCTCACTTCTGCTTCTAACTGCCCGGATTCTTCCTTGACCAAGACGATCTTCTCCTTCAACACACGATGCTGCTCTTCGAGTTCTGAAGAAGGATTTAGACCAGATTTAGAATCTTTACGACTAATCCAACAACTTAGAGCTACGAAAAGCCCTCGGAAATGGTTTCCTGGATTGCAAACTTGATCGGAATTGAAGTACTGTACTGTACCAAACAAACACGATGTTAACTTGACATCAAGCTTAACAAGAAAGCACCAGTTGAGTGATGGGAAAATCAAGTGATCTTTTCTTACGTTCACGCCAGAAATATGCATTTCATGCTCTTTCAAAAGGCTCCCTGACAAAAAAGGAAAAAATCAGAATATTATTTCAGCACTCTCGAGTGATGTTGAAAAAAGCGTATCAAAGAAATTAATTGTGCAAAATACTGCTCTACTATGGATTATGTTATACTTGAGATTTCCTTGAAATGTTGAGTTCAAAGTAAAATATAGTTTAAAAATTCTAAATTTAAATAGGCAATAAATTTCTAAAACTACACAGCATATGCTGTTTATTCACTTAATTTTATGCTCCTTGAAATTAAGTTACAGTATTTTCTTTTAAATATACAATTTTATTCGGCATGGAGAGATATTACTGCCAAAATCTGAAATGAAACCCGTTAACATTAGAACATTATGCCACATGTTTCCCACCATAAAAACTCTTATCCACAAGCAGGTTTTCAATTTTGAACACAGTATAAACTTTTAATGCAATAAGAGTAAGACGAAAATTTGTCCACGAAATTTCAGTAAAATGTCTCTGGCCCATGCATATGATACTATACGGGCAAAGAACCCATCATGATGATTACACTTTATTGAAATATAGTAAAAGATGCAAAGAAAAATAACTTATAAATCATAACATTTTCATAAGCTTGTTCAAACAACAAAATCAAGAAGATCTTAAAAATCTTCTGAATGCGTTGATCCCATTCAGCATACATTGGTAAATGTACAGACATACTCTACAAGAACGATTTTCTCCGTACAATGAATTTTTTGGTTGCCACACATCTAAAAGATGGGTCCCTACCCATCGTTCAGAGGTTCTCTACAACGAAATGCTCAACGCAAAATATTTTTTGTCCCCTGAAATTCGTTGCAGAGAGAGTCGACCTGTAATACTTTACAACGAAACGCGTCTCTACTTTCACTTACTCCTATTGTTCTCCAAGAATTCCGCTGAAAATGCAGGGAACGACCATAATTCACCGCTCTCATCTCTCGAGGTAGCCATGGGAACACTTTTGATAATTTTCTAAGAAGAGACAAAAAAAAAGAGAGAGAGAGAGAGTAAAATGAAAAATCCGATGCATTCTATGACAGTCGGAAAGTTTTCACGAACTTTTTCGGCAGCAGGTACTTGAGCTTCTTGTGTCTTGCCAGAAAGACGGGGTTCTTTCGTTTTCTGAAGATGCTTCTGACGATAAGCAGCCATTTCTCTCTTGTATCGTTCACTTTCAACCTCCGCCATTTCTTCGTATTTCTAATAGAACATGAGAAGTTGCTCTGTTTCTGTTTAAGCTGGCGGTGAAGAAACAAACCTGCCTTTCTTCTTTCGGAAGTGCCGCCCAACCGTCAGATAAAAATTTGACGCGGGATTGATGGTCAGTGCCTTTTCCTTTCAACTGCTTGAAAGCATCCTTGGAATAGAAAACGTACGCTGAAAATAGAGTTAGAAGATATGTAAGGTAAACTGGATTACACTCAACATTTTCCGTCGATCCGGGTAGGTCAATGGTGCAACAAAACGTGGAATTATTCGTATTAAAAAAAAACAAGAATCTCGGCTCTTTTCCTGGAGTTCTGTATTAATAAGTCCTGACGCAATGTGCAATCCTCTAACAATGTCAGCACCCCCCCCCCCCCGGCCAAAGCCTAATTAACGATTCTTTTAAAGACCCAGGACATCTCAGATTAAATACAATATCATATTTGCAACAGATTAATAACGAATTCTGAAGGACTCAAAACAAATTCTTTTCATGAACTTGAGAAATGATTGCATTTCAGAAAAGAAGACAACATACAGTATTATTCATTGAAGCGTAGAATCCTGTTACTAAAAACTAGTACGAAACTGGAAGAAATTAACTGAAAAATTCTGCTTTCAGTATTACGGTAAAATTTAAAAATGACTAATTTCATTTTTATTGAAAAAAGAAGCTTTGGATACATGCAATACTTAGGACTTGGAGAATTTATTGAAGAGTTTAATTACAAATTTCCTTTCCACGTAAAGCCTCCACAAAAAAGATAAAAAGGAAAATCTATTCCAGGGAAATTTTTGTTAACTGGCAAGTTTGGGGACTAATGTTTGCTAGATGGATTAATTTTAGTGATTTGGGGCAGAACAAGCATAAACGCAATGTTTGTAAGCTGGAACATTTGTTAGCTCGGGTGTTTGATAATCAATACCCCACTGTATAACTTTTGTGCTGTCAAATTCTTCATGAAAAAATTCATTTAGAAGGGTATCTCTAGTTTTCCGAAAGCTTCTAGTACTTCGAAGAAAGCATTGAACTGACAGGCATTTTGAGTGGTTTAGCGGTTGAGCCTCTTCCCTCTTGAAAAAAAAACTTTTCTAGATCAATACGGATAAAACTCAACAACTGATAATGCAAATTCAAATTTGTTCGGGATTGATGCAGCATAGTTCAATTTTTCTTTGCCTGAAATGTTGGGAATTTAAATTTTAAACAAGTGAAAACAAATGCGGCAGGTTCAATCCGGCAATAATATTAGAAGTATAAATTACATGATCTTAAATTTAAAATAATATGGCGTCAACATTTTTCAGGCCCCTAATTCAAATTCACATAATTTAAAGAAAATGCGATATTGATGTTTGGCATACTGGATATTTCCCCAGAACCGTTCTCCAGATATAGCCTCTTGAAATAACCACAGCAAATTCAACATTAATAAAAGTCGTAATACGAGTGAATTCAATTTTCACCAGACCACAATTCCGATATTTAACCAATGATTTTGCTAGAATAAAGTCTTAGCGTTCAAAGAAATAGGCAATTGAATATTCCCGCACTGAGATGCTGACTCAACCGAACAAAATAGGCAAAAAAAAAAACCGTCGAGAGAGGACAATCGCGGAATTTCATCAATACAAACCTGAGAGCGGCTGTTTGGGCTTCAAGGGATCCACAGGTCGTCGTTTAGAACCTGGTTTTGTTTTTACCCCATCACTTTTACTGGATGGCTTCGGATGGAGAACGCTCGGACCGGCCGGCATATTCGCAGGGTTTCCTGCAGTCTCTGAAAGGATCTAATCGTATCATTTCATCACTACATGGCATGTATTTCATAATCTAACCATCGGACATCCTCAATATCGAACAGCTGCAGGACTTGGCGCACTCGGATATTCAATAATCGCAGAATCAATCTGCGAAAACAGTTCGCGCGGATTCATACAATTCTCAACAGAAGTTCATTCTTTGAGGGGAATAAAAACCCCACCCCTGCGTCACACAACGGGTATCAACATAGCTAATCGAACTGAATCCGCAGAAGGTTCTCGAAAACATGTGCCAAAACACGCTCGAATTTATGCTTCCGCCAATAAAAAAAAGAAAGAAAAATTCCAGAAAAATCACGTCGACCGAAGCATTGTAAAAACAATGGACTCGCTTGGAATTTCACCTGGAATAAATGTAAAGGCCACTGATGCATTAATAAACGAGAAAATAACCACACGAAGTCCGATATGCATAAAAAATGAACTAAACACTTGGTTTCAAAAAGGAGAATTTTCATCCTCGCTTCAAACTGCAAAACAAGAAATCAGCTCCAACAAAAAAAGCAACCTATGTACTGTAAGTAAAAAAAAAAAAAAAGCAATCCTGGACTTGAAAAATTTCGAAATCTTTAAACCGCGAAGGAGAAATAATTTGCCTAATTAAGACCCTTCGCCTGTTGAAAGCGATTACAGATTTCAGACAGTAATTTCCTCACTCCGTTCAATTCATTCGAAGATTGACACAAATCCGCGATAAAAGTGTAGAAGTTTCTTATAATTCAATCAGATCCCTCAGGAATTCTTAAAAAAATATTACGAGTCCGAAAATCACGCACTTTTTCCTTTCATGACAAAAGAAATTTGTCTTAAAAATTGAAATTTCCGAAAAATTTCACACAAATGTCGCCATAAACCTTCTTAAGATCGTCATCAATCAAGCGTCAACGAAACAAGCAAGAAAATGGTGAAATAGAAAAATGAGGATCTAGATTCAAATAATTTCATGCATTTGTTGTTCTTCATTCTCAGAATCGAAGTACGTCCGCAGGAAACCGCTCATTTTCACAAAAAAATTGCACTAAAAACTAAATACGCTCACGCTTTTACCGGGTTCTTGGAAGACAACTCATGCGGAATCAAGTTGTACACTTCGAAATTCAAGACAAAATTCGAAATTTTCGAATCAAACTTCCGCCAAATTAACGGGTCCTCGCGAACAAAAGGCACCTTTTGCAAACAGTCCTTACCACGCCTGATGCGGAGTATGCTATTTCGCGTAGCCCTTCGTTCCATTGGATTTAGATTAGATGACAAAAACAAACAAAAGCAAGTGTTGGAAAGCCGTTGCCTTTGTTCATCGAAATATTCATGAACAAGCGATTTTGAAACTAGAATATTTCTCTTTTTCCCAGCTTTTCCGAAAAACTCCACTCACTTTATCCATTCCACTCGGCATTCGTTTGAAAGCTTCATTTTCCGGAAAATTCTCACTGAGGTATCGATGAACTGCAGTAGAAATAAATAACCTCACGATGGAAAACGTATTTCGAAGGGTTCTTTCCAGACTGGTCCTTTTGCGATGCCTTGGTATGAGACTTGATGAACGAAAAATCTCCCTAGCTCCGCTGCAAAAGGTTAGCAGAGATCCTGAAACCTTTCCGACCACAGCTGGAAGTTTATTACTCCATAGGCCGTGGACCATCAACCGGCATCGTGTGCAAGACTTCATCCAGCAATTGCAGAGCTCGGTGGAGGTGGACTTCAATCCAGCAAGGAGTTTGTTTGATCGTTGTTCTCGGATAATCTGGACCCCAACCCTTGACGAAACTCAGGCGTAAAATACAAAGTCTTCGCAAGTCATCCACACCGATGCCTGCTGCGGCACTCAGGCTGATAGCAGGTGCTATTCCCCCAACAGAATTCGGACCTGGGATGTGTCCAGCTACAGCAGCGGCTTGGGCTGCAGCAGCTGCATGCGCCGTAGCAGCTTGCTGCTGCATTTGTCGATAGCATTGTCTTAAATCGAAAACCTTCACAAAAATGTAGAAACATAAGCAAACATCATCAAATAACACATCATAGAAAGTTCAAACAATGTTTTCTGATGCAGAAGAACTCTCGAAAAAAGTGAAACTCGAAGTAGCTTTCCAACTGCCACACCCAGGTTGACGCATATATTAATCGTGGCATCTTCAAAAAAGAATTCTCAGCATTCGTGCATGCTGTTGTGCGTTTAGAGCTTTCGTAGACTATGATTTGTACAAAAACATTCATAAAGAAGCACGTTTTAACGAGAAGTTAAAACTATCCAAACGCTTCGAATCCAATCGCGTTACAGATAGTACATCCAAGAAAATCCATGAAAAGAAGCGATATGCATTCAAAATTGCCTCACCTTGATGTAGGCGGCTGGATAGACTTTGTGCACAGCGTCACCGGGACTTCTTCCAGCTTCTCTGTCCAAATAATAACTCTGCACGAAGACACTGTGATCCGACATGCATCTGAGCCAAACATCTCCTTCTCCCCGAAGATCAAGCTGCACCCCTTTGCCAATGTGTAAGCTGCTTAGAAAAATCGAAAGTGCACAATATGATTGAACAAATTTCAAAAGTGGCAATCCTGTAAACTAAGTTGCATGTTTCAGAATAGTGATACGTACGAAGAATTTAAAAATCAAGGGAAATTCATGGACAGCGTGGAAAATCGTGAATATTGACCGGAACCAAATCTGAGGCCGTAAATTAAACTAGAAAGCTCCATAAGATACAAATTCACTTGAAACTCGATACCTCGAACCTCCCTCCGTTAATTTTTTCAAGTCCCTGTCTGAATTCTCTCAGAGACAATACATTCAAAACCTCCCTAACTCAGAAGCTTCCCCCTTCTAACTTCCTCAACTTGAATTTCTGAAGGTTTTCGGCTATTATTTCAATGAGACACGAAAGAGAAAAGCAATAGAAGTGTACCTTGACGTGCTTCGAAAGGAAGTGAAGGACTGATTGGGCAAATGAACCCTTGCCTCCAAGTTCAGCCTGAGATCAACTCATTTAATGATCAATTCAGCACCCAGGATATCATCTATCACAATTTTCTGTAATTCTTGCTTTCCCCAACAAAAATGCTTGCTCCCCTCATTTGAAACCTCCATAAATCGATTTTTTTGGGTCCCTTAAAGTTCGACTGCATATTGCGTCAGGATACACATTTTTAGTCCTCCTACGTTAAAATTAAAATCCATATCTGACTAACCGTGCACGTTCGGAGGGCTCTATGCGATGCACATTGGACAGAGCGCCAAGACAGAAGCGATTTCCACCCGAGGGGTCAACGTATCCGTCTACAGTAACACTCGGAGAGGCCGATGAAACCTTGAATGTTTCGCCAACCTGCTGGTCAAGTTCGAAGTACGCAATCGAACACCAGTACTCCGGCTGAGGTTGACTTGAAAGAGGCCCTTCGCTTGCATCCAAATGATTCTGCCCTGAAACGTCAGCAATGAGCAAAACTTACTACATGACTACATTTTCAAATAATTATAGTAGATTAAAAAATTAATCTAAAAAACCACGTTTTCAAAAAGCAAAAAATAACCTTAAACGTGGTGCGCATGGAGATTGTTGGGAAGAAGTGAAATACAAATGAAATAGATGCGCACCACATTTAAGGTTATTTTTTGCTTTTTAAAAACGTGGTTTTTTAGATTAATTTTTTAATCTACTATAATTATTTTATTCTTTTTAAAAAATATTCTTAAAATTAATTTTTTCACAAAAGATTGCATTGTCATCAGTTTCTAGGCTATCCTGAAAGTTTCAGCTTGATAGCTAGTCGGGAAGTGAGTGAAATTTGAGTTTCAAAATTTGATCCGGACAAACAGACAGACAAGAAAGTGAGTTCATAAAAACGTGGTAAAATCAAAGCGAAGACGAAGTGCATCAAGCCAACAACTGTACATCTAACTCTCGTTCTTCATTTGTCAACCCAAAGACAGATGTTCCCACAATGTCGAATCTATCCGAACAGGCACCGTACACATCACGACGGCCCCCATCTAGACGCCGCGCATCGCCTGTCTTTCCTTGGATGGACATTCCCTCGTAAAAATGCAGAAAAAGGTTTACAGTAAAATTACGAAAAACATTGCATGCAATATGTTGCTTCCTCTGTTTATTCACAGGAATTAAATTGTTTTGAAAATTACCAGACTTTGGGAGTGGTTAAGTCAGGTTAAGTTAGTTAAAAATATCTCTCAACTAATATAACCTGACCTAGCTGCCCCCAAAGTCAAATAATTTTTCTTAAAACAGAAAAATTTATCTAGGTTTAAAACTTACGTAACCTGACCTACATAACCTAAGTTAACCTAACCTAACTGCCCCCAAAGTCTGATAATTTTTTTAATGGTTTAATTACAGTGAATAAACAGAGGAAAATAACACATTGCGTAATTTTACTGTGAACGTGTTTCAGCATTTGCATGGGGGAATTTCCATCCAAGGAAGGACCGGCATCGGAATGGGTCCAGGCGTGATTTTTCCAGTTCCCATCCGAACACATCTTTTAACCTAATCAACCTTCACGCAATTTCGGGAAATAAATCATGCACAGGCAGACTCTCTGCAACGATTTTTTTTATGGCCCCGAAGAGTTCTCTTCCCATTCTATACGGGTTCTCGATTTTTCTGCCCCCCCCCCCTGACTTTCGTAGCACAAAGTCCACCTATAATCGGGACATACACGGGGCATAGAAGAAGGAACTAATAATTCTTACAAAATGACGACGATGTTTGGTTGTTCTGCGTGTAGGACAAAGTAGCGTTCGAAGTCGAGCTACTCCAGCTGGAAATGGGCGGCGAAGAAACCCCAGCATAGGTCACCACGGGGGTATTCGGGTTCATAGTCTGGGGTGTGGTTGGCTGTCCAGCAGCTTGTTGCACTTGTCCAGATGACTGCTGCGGAGTAGCTCTCTGCTGCTGCTGTTGTTGTTGGACAGGCGGTGAGGTGACTGCATTTGGCAACGACGGGGAATAACCATTAGTGGCACCAACAGGAGCCGAAGGCAACGCAGGGGACGATATCATATCCGAGCTTCCAGGTGCAGAGCCAGACCCGGACGGAGGCATACTGTAATACGTAGGTGGTCCTTGTGAGGTTCCTGATGCGGGCATTTGCCGCTGCTGGGGTTGAATAACGCCAGGAGAAACAGGCAGAGAGGGTGCAGAGGAAGTAGAAGCATTTTGAGTGATCACGTGTCCCGGAGGTAGAACGGATGTCTGTCCCGACATCAGGTTCCCCATCGGTTGATTATCACCTGTTATCGCATCGAAGCGGAGATTACAGTTCCAGTAAAACACATAACGCTATGTGAACACACACAGCATTCGAGTTAAACGTAAATTTCCGTCATGTCATCGCCGTAAATACAGCATGTCATTTGCTCCATCTCTCCCTGTCATTTACTGGCCCGGGAATTCTGGCTAAAATTAGTCCACTTTACCTACACTTAAGACACTTGGATGCTTATATTAATTTGGCGTCTCTCATCGATCCAAGCATGTACCTCATTTCATGACGAAACGAGCAAAGGCATTCACCAAAACCATTCCCAAGAACAATTGTATGTTCAGGAGTGTCACCCTTCATTTGCAATTATCAGGATCAGGTCTATATATGAATACAGAAACAATACTGTATAAGCACGAATATTGTATACATTATAGTTAACCTAGAAAGTCAAACCAACTTATAATCAAATTTCTTTTCAAGTTCCTGTCCTAAGAATGGATTAACAACCTCCCTAACTCGAAGACTTTCCTCCGCGAACATCTATAACTCGAATTTTTCGGATGCCTTTTGGCTATTATTTCATTGACACAGGAAAGAGAAAAAAGGGAGAAGTAACTTGATGCGTTTCGAAAGGACGCGAAAGACTAAGTCGACAAATAAACCCTTTCCTCCAAGATCAGCATCCTGTCAAATCACTTATCAAACAATTTAAGGCCTGGAATATTACCAATTACGATTTCCTTCAAATCCTCTTTCTTCACAAGCATTTTGTGTACAGTACTAATTAATGCTCGAGTTGTTCGTGATTTTCAACCTGTCTCCGAAATAGATTCGACCTATTCGCGGTGAGAAATGACATTCCACAGATTTTGATTCACGTAATGCCCCGGAATCGACTGTGCTCGTTGGCAACACTTACCAAAACAGTAAATTATTGCTAAACATATGCCACTGGATAAGTCCTCAACTTGACCAAACAGGAACAATTCAATCAATGAATTTACAAATGCTGTACAAGGAAATTCGTTTTCTAATGTGTTTCTTGAAATCACGCAAGTTACTTTCAAAAATATTCTGGCAAGTTCGGTGTGATTCTCCAGCCAAGATGTAGCTCACAGGCATCATAGCATTTCTTTGTATCAATCAATCAGTCTCACGTACCAGTGGCCATGCTGCCTTGTGAATTTTGAGCAGTGGACAAGTGCGGGCCACTCGGTCTCACGGCACCAGTCATGTTATGCACACCGTGCTGGCCATACATTTCCGCTTGCCCAGGGCCACCGGCCACCGGAAAATGCCTCACAGTTTGATGCACCGTCGACTGACCAGACGGAGCTGGTCCTTGTTGGCCCACCATACCAGATGCCGAAAGCGGCTGAGATGCAGCTCCTGAAGTCTGTCCGACACTCGTGGGCAATTGAGAAGGCACTGGACCACCTATGGGCTCCTGGTTGGGTCCCATGTTGAAATCGACCGTGCTCATCCCGGATCGTCCGGGACTGCCCCAATCCGTGTTCATCCCATCGCCATCGCTATTATGTATCGTGAGGCTTGAGAGATCTACGAAACCCGTGCGAGAAAACGTCACTTGAAAAATTATCATCCATGCCGCGCGAAATAAGATTCATACAGCCTGAGTACGACCACCACATCTCCCAAAAAGCCGAGAACTCAATCCTACCGCATCCACAGGAGGGAGCAGACTGAAGAAGGAATCCGCGAAGAAAATATTTTTGCGCCGACTAAAAAAGGTACTGAATATACGGCAAACAGAACTCACCAATACCGGGCGATACCACTCGTTCATAGTGGTAGGGGTTAACACAGACGGAGTCGCACTTCAAATCAAACGCAAATTGACAGTATTTAATATGCTTCAGTTCATTTTTGTGTAAGTCTGGCCACCTCCAAATACGGGCGTAGATGACGTGAGGGAAGCCTTTTCTTCCGGCGACCTGGAATAATAAGAAAATACGCTTCCATTCCCATATTTCCACACCCCAACGTTGAGGTTTATACGAATCTTTTTCTCTTCACTCGATCACACGATTGACACTGGGCAAACATGACTGGCGACGGGAGCTGTTTGCTCTGTAAACATTACAGTACTTTTTTGGAAAGTGACGAGCTGAGCCGAACATTGACCTTGGTGTAGTGAGAAAAATTACGCAGTACGAAACATAAATTCACTCGACGAATTTCAATAACTCAGATGAGAGGGTATCCCATGCAATTCATCAAAAATAGACCGCGCAGTTGGACAAGAAAAGGAATTATACTGCGGATGCGCTAGATAAATACTGCACGGAGCTTTCCACAAATTCACTTGTGTTTCGAATTGTATTCCATTGAGCCACTAATTTGAACACAGTGTAAAGAACCTTAAAAAAAAACTCGTTTCGTTAAATACTGTACATGGGTATTACAATCTGAACAGCTAAAACATGCACAGGTTCTATAATAATAAGCGCTCGTGTTCCAAGTTTGCTGTCAATTGAACGATTACTAGCTGGTAGAAGCTTCGGCATTTTTCCTCGCTTTTTGGTTTTGGTTTCAAATAAAATTATTCGAATTAATACGACCAATTCCACATTTGTATTGCTTTACCGTGAATGGTTGTGTGTACGCTGAACTAGAACTAAATCAAGTCACCAACTGACCAACAGGTCAAACCGTATTTAATCCCTCATTATCCTTACAATATGTGTTCGCGCGACACAGAACGTGAAATTGACACGACGTCAAATCAGGTAAAATTTGGCAAAAAAAGACAATTTCTCGTTCCTTACGAAATTTTCGCACCGTAAATACGCGAGGAGTTGCGTTGCAATTATTTTGTACGAGTGGACAGTTTTCTTGGACAAGGCTCAATAACCCCAGGGAGATGTACTCATCCAAAAATACGTCGTTACAAGAGGAGACCCACCTGAAGTCTGCCATCCAAAGTGCGCTGAATCGTGACGCATTTGCTCGGATGAGCTCCATTAGTCGTTATAGCTGTTATCAGACTATCAAGCTCTTCGCGTTTTTCCTTAAGAGAAATGGCACGTTTCAACTACATCTACCAACCAATACACAAAATAATTTTTCAAACCTTCAGTTTTTTGACCAAGCTTTCTATGGCCCGCTTGGAAAAGCCTTCGGATTCTCCACCCTGACGATGACACATCAGACTGTGCACTATGCTCATGCACGCGTCGGCTGAAGTAGGCGCCGGCGCTGCCATGATCCGAACGAGAATCCTTCACCAAATGTTAGCTGAAGAAAAAATATATTTACTTCAGGAAAATAATACAGAAATGCTTGAAATGAAACATTAAAATAAAACTGGTTCACTCAACGAAATGTCATACATATAGTGCAGTTCTACATTTCTCCAATTTATCCGATAATGGCGTTCAAACAAAGGAATGACAGGTAAGTTGAGCGGATCGTGATCAACTCAAGTATTCTGCGGTAGTACTTTCGAACGTCACAATTTGAAAGCGATCAAGGGGTCTCTATCCACGCGCATTTGCATTTCAATTAAATTTAATCTCCCTGCACGAAAACAAATTCAAAAACCCATCTTGAAAAGGCTCGGTGAACACTCCAACTCCGTTCTTCGTCAGTAACAAACCTGAAGCATTTGGATGAAACGCAGAGAATTCGCGGAGGTTCGTATTGAAAATTCCGCAGACAAGCTTTCTGAATCAATCAGAAAATATCCCAGAATGATACGTCAGTGACATCTTCCGCGTTTCTGATTCCTGTTCGCACGGAACAAATAACCCCGTTTTTTACAAACCCCCTGTCTTCCTTGCTATTTTCTCCATCACTTCAAACACACCTCAGCTCCATCGATCTAAGAAATGATGCATTAGATACAATGTAAATTCTAGTCTTCTTATCTTTAAACACACCACAAATCTGAACCTTCAATGACAGCGACTCATTGGCCATAAAGGAAGATCACTGGAGAAATCAACATTGACATAGAAGAGCGGAGGAAAAGCGTACTGAACCAAAGAAAGATTTTAATATCTCATCAACTACAACGGATGTGCATACAATGAAACGAAACTGTGACACACATGAAATGGCGGTGTTCACACCATGAGTGAACAAAAAGATATTAGACTGCAATCGGAAATCCAACATTTCTCGCAGAAAGTTACGTGAAGATCTTTTCTACTCACCTCATCAAAATGTACTTCTCCAAGTTGACACACCAAGCAGAACTAGAAGTTGTGACTTCCGAAGTTACCCACACGCGGATCGATCGTTAAACTCGCGCTTCATCTTCACTTCACGTTGAAGCTTCTTGAACGTAAGTAATCAGTACAGATTCAATGGAAACATCAGCCCAGAAGAAAGTTAGCACAATAATCCCAAAAGCTCTCGACACACAAGCGGCGCTTTTATGCTCAACAAATTCATTATAAAACGGACAGAGAAAAAAATTTGTCAATCCAACAAGGTTTATAGTACGCTACACACGCCGCCCACACTAGATCACACCAGCGTCTGAAGAGCAATTTCGTCCGAAAAGGTACACCGAAGCGGCGAAAACATGGCATGAGATCGGGCGCTACATCGAAAATTTCAAAACCAAAAAGAGCGTGGGGAAATTCACAAGTCACCCAGAAATTCGCGTGCTATTCTGAGGCAGGGAAGGTTTAGAATTTTAGGACACGACAGGAATGGATCATTTCTGGCTCAAGTATTCATCCAATTGCTTGTTCAATTCGTCGACGCTCAGTTGTTCCTTTCGACCGCCACGTCCTCCACCTCCACCTCCTCTAGGCGCACCACGTCGCCCGCGAACGGCACCGCCTCTGCCGCGGCCGCCAACGGCGCGACCTAACCCTGCAGAAGAAAAGTCCGAGATTTTTTTCAACACCCACAGCGAAAAAACCGTGCAACCATAGAATCAAGCAGGAAGAACAGAAAAAACCAGAATTGCAAGATTATTTTACGCAAAAGTTACAGGTGAGCTCTTATCAAAACAGCATTCCGAAAAGGCTCCATGCAACATCGACCTACATTGAGATCAATCTTTGCGAACAGCACTGGAATGCAGATCAGCTCGCGATTTCAACTCTTCGACCACGATTCATAATTTTAAAAATTGCACCCACACCTCAAGGGGTACAACACACAAGCTGTTCGTCAGAAAATTGAATACTATACTGTACTTAACTTGGCTGACAACAGCTCTACTGAGAAGTAATGAACACTCCTGCCAAGATGTGCCGATCACAGATATCAGTTTATCACAATACAGTACATAAGGACAAGCAGGTCAGTCTGGAACATTGTTCAGATAGCTATTGAGCATCTAACGAGAGCAGCAAGGAGTACATAACCAATAATCGATAGCACCATATGATACATATACGACTCCCTCGCGTTCGTTAGCTTGGATATCCTACATTAAGTAGAAAATGTTCAAATCTAACTAACCTCGGCCCCGAATAGGTCCAATCCTCGACTTAGCTGTCACAACTTCGTCAGCAGATGCAGTCAGTTGAATGTCCATTGCCCTGCCGTCCAAGGGAACACCATTGTACTGCCTCATGGCTCGTACGGCGTCGTTCCGTCGAACAAACACTATATCCGCAGTTCCCAATGATCGACCAGATCTGTCGTAATGAACTTGCGCTTTCTCCAATGGACCGAACTCCGCGAATAATTCCTTCATGTCTTTGTCGCTCACTCCGAAGTCCAAATTTGAAACCAGAAGTTTCCCAGAAGCTCCAAGGTCTGAATTACGCTGAGTGAGCTTCGCACGATTGCCTCCATCAAATAAGTCATGTTCCCACCTTCAAAATACAGAAGGCTTCAAAATGTACCTACACTCCGAAAAGGCAAAGCAATAGCTTGCGAAAAGATATCATACCTGGATTCCACATTTCCCCGAGCATATGGAGCGCCAGTTCGCGAACCAGCACCTCTGCGACGGAACGGTCCGCCAGTTGCTCCACGCCTACCACCGGCGTCTCGTCCTGCCCCTCGACCTCGCCCACGGGGCATACCCCCACTTTTCTTGCTTTGAGCAATAATATCCTCCAGGCTCATTTCCATTTTGCTAGCCATTATTTAAATAATTCTTCTTCGAGCGCCGACTTCAAGGTTCAAACGGACAGCTCCTCACAGATTCTGTCAAGAATGTTGAAACGAAATCAACCGGAAAACCTGGGAATTTCATCAGCATGGCATGAAGAATGGACGGCGTGGGTATTAATAGTGGCATTTCAACGGGCAAAGGTGAGTGGTTCCTAGAAGACCTGTGGCAGATATAACACTAATGTTAATTGTTCGTACTGACACATGGCATCATTTCCCTCACCATGTTCCGCGAGGCGGAAAACGGACTTCTTGGAAGCTCTCATCGTTCCGATTCATAATCCAATTTGAAAATTGAACAATGCACGGGAAACTTCGCAGTGCGCTCCGACGTCGAGCAGTACATGTACTCATAAACAGAAAATTTAATAAAAAAAACCAACGGCCATGCAAATATACAACTCAGAAACACACTTGCCCGTTTCGAAAATATAAATTTGAACACATGCACGACAATCGCCGGATGAAAGTTCTGACACTTAAACCTCGTACAGAAGTAACTTCTTTCACCTACAGACAACACCGACGGGCGCCCAGTATTGCCTCTTAAGGACGCAGACATTTGTAAATGTGTGTAAAAATCGAAGACGGCGTCACAGTAAGTATGTCCGCGGTCTTCGTTCCCGGCGAGGTAGGGCATTTGGAGCAAGGCTAAAATACCGTACGTACAACTCATTGGCTGAAAGAAATCAAAGATCATTATTTGAGCTTACAGTACGGGCATTCTGTGGTGGAAAACCACGTTTAGAATGGACGTCTCCGAGGCCTTGGAGCGTCTCTCCTAGGTGTCGCTAAAGCATGGGGTACCTTACTGTACTTCGGAAAAACCACCACTGCCTGAAAGACGTTACCCCGCTGCGGGGAAGTTTGGGTGAGATCAGTGTAATGAATTGATTACCGTTTCGGCGTTTACAGATACTCTGGACATCGGGGCTAGTAAAAGTTCCTCGCGACGTGTAATGATTTTCTCAACTCATTGTGCATTATTTGGCTGATTACATGATCGTGTGATTTTCTCGAAGTAGCGAATGGAAATATTTTCGCTACTGCAAGCAAGTAGAAAACTAAGGGCCACTGACCATTATGTAGAACTCTCGTGCTTATGTCTCGTGTCCTTGTGAGCACGTACATCGTCACTGTGCATCCGCTCTTGTGCATTGTATAATGAATTCACTGATTCGTTTAATTTCGCGTGTTGCAGGCATTGCACGGCAGAAAGAGGCTGTGGTTCTCCCACGGTAGAATCTGTGACGAGGTGTTCTCAGCATGGACTTGGATATTCCCTTGCCAGAGGATACCTTGAACGCTCTAAAAATTCCTCCTCCACCCCCACCTTTGCCGCCAACTCCACCAAGCGACATATTGCCTCCCTTGCCTCCTGAACCAGCGTACATAGCGGATCCCTTCCCCGTTGCTCTAGGGAATCATGTTGTCCCCGATCCGTATGTGGCAGGGTTTGTTCCACATGATTATGCTGGGCTTGTGGCTGCGGCTCCGATAGTCGCCCCCCAAGCAAACGGTGACAGGTACTCTCCTAGTAAAATTTCTTCAGAGTCAGAATCTGATGAAGAATCTGCCAACATATATCCACCCGGCGAAGAAGGCCCGGCAGACATGATCTTGGAGAAGAGAAAGAAAAGTTCCAAGAAACTTGGTAAGAATACGCTTTTGGACAAAAACCAAGCCAAAAAACGACTTATGGCGTTTTCCGTTGCTAAGGCCATGGCCACTGGTCCAAGAAGTAAAGCTTTCGACGAAGAGCCGGAGTCAGCGCCGAAAATCGCGCCACCGAAAATGTCCCAGCCACTACTGGCCCCGAGCGCTTTACCTTCTGCGTTCTCTGAGAAATCTGAAAAAGTAACTGTCACTTTGTCGAAGAGAGAACCTCCGAAGAGTATGATCGAGTCGATAATGGAAGAAGAAATGCAAGAGAAGGCCAAAGTTACCTCTGCCCAGGCGCATCTGGCGTCCACAATGAGGAGACGTCGCAGTAGAAGCTCACAGAGGGATATTCGTCGCCGCAGTCGAAGCAGAGACAGGAGAAGCTCTCCCAGGCGTCAAGATTCGCCTGAATCGAAGCCTAAGCTGAAAGCCCTTCCTCGTTCGTGGGACGAGATGAAAAAGCTAGGTGCAAGCTGTGATGATCTCGAGGAGCAAAGGTTTCGACTGGATCGTTTGTACGCGAATAGGACCAAGCGGGATCGTCCCAGTCTGAACGGTGACGGAGATACGCAACCGACAGAAGATCATGATCCAGATTCCTTTTTCCGCGGTTATTCTGCCAGATTGAATGATCTGTGCGAAGGCTTTCCGCCAACCAGTAAACTCATCTTTCAACCTGTCTACGCCGGAGTGAACAAAAGCTTCAAACGTTCGTGTCTGAAATCCACTTGTACGAAACCAAACCTATTGTACGCCGAAAATCCGCGCTTCGCACGCCCGAATTACCAAACGGGCCAGAATATGTTTGAAGGGAATTCAATTGCGGTGAATCGACTGATGCGAATGATCATTGAAGGCGTTGGGCTTCCAGAGAAATTCGCACATACTGAACCCAGTCGGAAATTCAACTGGTATATTAGCAATCCATCAGAAATGGTTTCCTCGCATCCTCTTTCGTGTGAGATGGAATACAACGCCGCAGAACTTGGTGATCCCGCGATTCCGTCAGCATATGATCATGTAACAGAACTTAAACTACAAGTAGAACATTCGAAGCAAGTTCCAGTGGTCAAATCTCGCTGGGATTCCGATAATGAGGATTCTGGTCCACCGTCGTACCCAGTGATAACGGAGAAGAATGCGGACGAGCGGCGACTTCCGGATGTTGATGACGATGCAGGAGCTATTAAAAGGAAACATAAGAAGCACGACAAGGAAAGAAGAAAAGCTCGCAAATCGTCCGATGACGATACTTACGAGGAGGACGAAAAGTGGGAAGAAAAGCATGTTTCTCCCCCTTTAGTTCCTGCTGATGAGAAAATCAACTACGATGCTCAAGTTAGCGATATGGAAATAGCGTCTTCGCCGGAAAACCATCCAGAAGCTTCTCGTGATGATATTCCCCGTGGCGCGGATGCTGGGATGGGTGAGTTATTTCGAAATGAAGTTCGTGGTATTGATTGTAGTAGATTTTGCACTCAGTATATGTACTTAAAATCCGTTGCCATGAATTTGGCGCGATAAGAATGAAGACATAGCTTAATATTTGGTATCTTCGTTTTTTCCAGTCCAGTTCTATGAATTAAGGTGCATTCTCCTTGAGTACGAAGATGAAAGTGATGATTTTTCAGAGCAGGTGCAAAAATGAAGTGCAGTGCAATATGGAAAAGTCTCATCTTGAAAAACAGCTGTTCTGATCAAATTCATTCAGTATGAAGAGAATGCACTTTGGAACGTCAAGAAAATGTGAGGGGTGCAGTAAATGGAAGCAATACTGTACTCCATTACAGTTCTTCAATTTGTTATCAAGCAGCATTTATAATGCCATATTTGGCGCGGCTGAATTGTCCATTTCCGTGCAGTAAAATCCTTTCTTTGTGCAAATCCTGAATTGACACACAAAAAAAACGCAAGTCATGGATGGATTATTAGCCTCTTTTGTGTTATCAGTTCACCCATGGAAAATCTGAAGATCAACGTTAATTGAAAGAAGCAATTTGTGTGTAATTGATTTAAATACTGTATCACGGAGCTCGAGCTTCGGGTAGTGCGACTCGGATAAGATTTAAAGCTTCTACGACCCACATTTTTTAGATCTTTTATTGATCTTACCTTGAAGATCCTGTGAGATTTTTGGCGTAAATTCTACAAGTGTTGAATATTCTTATTGGAGATTTATTTGACGCACATTTATTTTTCATTTAGCAGATTTGGGTGTTGCTGGTCCCATGCTTCCGCCGAACGCGGCCCAGCAAATTTCCGCGGAATATGACGACTTCATGGGATTAATCACCAAGGACCCTGAAGCTCAAGAAAATCTGGACCAAGAAAAAAATTTCGTGGAAAAGGATGATCGTAAATCACCAAAAAATGCTTCGCAAAGCAACCGTGGCGCATATGATTCCGAGGAAGAAAATGCTTGGGAAGTCCCGAATGAAAATCGGGAGAACAATTTGAGTGCTGGTACGACTAATGCAACAGGGAAACAGGATCCTGAAGAGGACTTCACCGGAGATGAAATGAACGTGAAAGTTGCTTCGTCCAAGTCGGGCAAGAAGAAAGCGAAATCTCGATCCCGTTCAAAGCGAAAACGGTCCAAATCAGACAATTCATCCAGTGAAGACGAAAGTGAGAGCCGTAAATTGAAGAAGGCGAAGCGAAAGGCGGAAAAATCTTCTTCCGACGATTCTGATTCCTCGGAAGGGAAGCGAAAAGTAAAGCGGTCTAAAAAGCGCCGCAAACGCGAAACATCGGAATCCTCGTCTTCTGAAGAAGAATCGTCCTCTGATGAGAAGGCTAAGAAGAAACGCAAGAAGAGGAAGAAGGCTTCAAAATCCAAGAAGAAATCCAAAGCTCGTCACCGAGATTCTTCGTCATCGTCGTCGGCTGACGACAGTGACTCCAGTGATGAAGATGGTGAACCTGGTGAGAAGTCAAAAAAGTCAAAGCGCAAGAAGAAGTCGTCAAAGAAAGAGGATTCGTCGAAGAAATCGAAGAAAGCCAAAGCCAAGAAGAGGAAGCGCAAGACCTCAAGTTCTTCTTCAGCTTCGAATGAGAAAGAATCTCCAGTTGATTCGGAAGGAAAAAATATCTCGGCAAAGGAAGAAGAGAATGTTGTGATTGAAGTTCCTGAAAGAGTTGAATTGTACTCGCCTACTCAAGCATTCAATTCCTCGTCAGAAGACGAAACGCCGCAGCCTGTTGGCTGGAAAGAAGTTGCTCCTCTGGAGAAACCTGTGAAACCGTCTGTCGAAGCTCCAAAAATAGAAGTTAAGCTCAAACTGAGCCGCCGATCATTCACCAATGATCTCTTCAAAGAGAGCATATTTGTCTCGAGCGAGGAAATTCCGTTGCCACCTTCGCCAGTCAAGGAAACTCCTGTCAACACTCTACCGAAATCTCCTCCTCACGAAAGAGCGATCGACATCCCATTGCCAGAAGCGGAGAGAAGCTACACGCCGCCCCCGAGGAACAAATCGGTTTTTCCGAGTCGGGAAGAAGAAAGCTATACTCCTCCTCCGAAGAAAAATGTTGATATTCCGAAGAAAGAAATCGATTCGAAAAAAGACGAGAATATTCCGTTGCCTCGGGAGGTGGAAACTCGGCAAAAAAGGGCATCTCCATCTCGAAAATCGGAGTCTGTTTCAAAGGAGGAGAATAAGCAGCGAAGTCCGAGTCGGCGTAGACGTCCTGGAGCCAGGAGTCGATCGAGGTCAAAGTCGCCGTATTCAAAAGACAGAAAAAGGTTAGTACAACTCGAACTCAATATATTAATTGGTCGATGGGCGTTTTGAAGATAATTATGCATCTTTCTGGAGCTGAATCAGAAATAATTTTTGTTCACATTCAATTTGTGTTGGATGCTGAATTCACGGCATTTGAAGTGATCTACGCAAGCGTTTGTGTATTTATTGTTCTTTATGAATTAAAAGTCATGAAATGTTCAGGAATTGGGCCGTATTGCGTTGTGGTTTATTTTAAAATGACCGTGTTCCGAAACAAAAATGCCCACTCTTCGGAATACAGTACTGTACTGTAATGTTAGAGTTGGAAGGGGTTTTGGCATGAGACTAACAATGTTTTCATTCATCGGGTATTTCGTGTTCCATGATTTTAAAATATTCGTTTTGAACTCGGAGGAAATTAATAAAAATTGAGTTTTAATGTGTTCGGAAATATTTATATTCAATTTTAGCAACTGTGTCGAAGCGTTCTCCCGCATTCCACAAAATTTTAACGTGATGCAAGTATTGCGGATGTACATTTTTGGAATTGTGAAATGCTTACAATTCATAGGTTTTGGAATCCTTAAATGATTAAATCTTTGGGAAGAAATGTGAGAATCTTTTCGAAACTGGGCTGAATTAAAGTCAATACAGTACTGTAATTCGCTTTTTTGAAAACTCTTTTCCGTGGTCTTAATTTTTTTCCTGCCCCTTTGTTATACAACTAATGTGGAGTAAGTGTACAAATAAAATTTCGGATGAATTTCATCTGTTGTGTTCGAACCAGTGCTAGTCGGTTGCTGTTATTCAACGGTGCTCAGTCTAAGCCTAAGGAAGCTGGCAGTTTCATCGACTTATTTTTCCACGCGTCTTTCTATTTTCGTCATGTATTGACCGGCATTTTGAACAAAACCCGCGCATTTCTGGAATACCCCTGTAATTCTTAGTGGGGCATCAAGAGACCCTCGCAGAACGTCATCGAACCGTAGTCGAAGCCCTCGTCGTCCCTCGAAGGTCACCGTCGTTCGAAAGAAAACCCCACCGAGGTCTGGTTCGCGTCGTTCCCGAAGCCGCAGTCGCAGCAGGGATCGGTCGGGTTCCCAGCACCAGAGGACTCATTCGCCTCGTCGTCGATCTCGAAGCCCAGCAACGCGATCAATCCGTGACGACAAGCGAAGTGTCCGGGAATCTTCGCCGAGACGGCGAAGACGAAGTGTCACTCCGAAGCGTCGTCGGTGAGATAAATCTTTCGGTCTTGTCATGTATGAGCTTGGACACTGAACTAATTACTTTTGTGACACGTCGATCACCCTAAACTTCTTCGTTGATATCCAAGAGTACGTTGATGATCAGTTTCTTTGAGGACACGTACGGTAGTGATACGATGGATGACTGAAAAGCGTCGTTACGGAACGTCTTGTTCAACTTTTAAAAAATGATGAAAGAGAGATCCTTGATTTCATCGAATGAGAATGTGTCACGTCTTGAGGAAGTGTCATTTTTTACTAATTTTTGATGTAAAGTAATGACATATCTCGCAAAATTTGGAATTTTCAGTCTCAGGATGCTTGGTGATCATCTTGTATTTATTCTCTTTTATCTTTTTCAAAAATAAATGCGTTAAGATTGATATTGATCATTCCGAGGAGCTTTGAACTCGGAGAATTTCATGTGGCAGGAAAACTTGAGAACTTCACCTCAAAATTTTCGAAAATCGCTTCGTCGACCTAATCAGGACTCGTGTATTGTAGCCTGGTTAATGCGCAACCAAGGTGAGGCCAGGAGCAGATGAAAATCCGGTTGACAGATCAGGTAGACTCTCCCTACGACAAAATTCAAGGGACGAGAAACAAATTTTTTCTAGAGAATTTCGTTGTATAGAAACTAATGCATGGAGAGATAACTATGGGGCCAAAAAAATTTTTACAGAGGAAATCGTTGTTGACCAGATTGTTCTGGAGTGAGAGTCCATCGGTATGCTTTTGTCAATGTTACTTGAGAGTGATAAACAATCTTCTTTTTTTTGGTCTGGGAGCCTTTCAAATTAGCATGCAATTTATATTCCAGGCATGAATGTGAAAAAAATAACGATTTTTCCAATGCCCAATTTTTGCGGTCTCTTGTTGAGCGTGATTGTGCCAAAATTCGAAGTCGTTCTACACGGAAAATTGCTGTAGACGAGATTGTTTCAAGAAAGTCCACGTGTAGAGCATTGAAATGCCGTCGGACCACGGGTCACATCTACCCATGAAAATACATTTGTTATTGTAAAAGACAAAATAGGATCATAACAGTATTCTTACAGTGTCATGTACAATTGTAGATCACTAAAATCTCAGCGAATTTTTGTCTGACGTTCAAAACGGTTGTGATCTTATTTGTTCGCTTAACTTGATTGAGTCTAAACGTGAAATTGAAAAGCTTCGTATTTTGGCGCGTGATCCCGCGCTGTTCTGCAGAACTCCGAGCGATAGTCCGAAGCATGCTCCTAGCTCACCGCAAGCCTTCAACGTCTCCGGGCCGAAAACGCCAACATCCACACCGCCTCCGGAAGCCAGCGAAGACATGGCCCTGGTGGAACCGGAAGAAGCCGAACCCGAGGCGGTTTCCATTAGCGCAATCCCGGTCATTGGCCAGTCCGTTGACGGCTACTTCAACGAGTTCGCGGAATGGCCGCCGCCGTCGGCCTGGGACCAGAAAGTCGACGATCACCCGGAAGTCGATCCGGAAGAAGTGAAGCGAGCTGAGACGAAGCAACAGATCCTTCAGGCTTATCCGTCGGTTGCGGAAGAAGCGCCGCTGAGCCAACGAATGGAAGCCGAACTGGACATTGTGGTAGACCGGCAAACGGACGACAATCGGTCCGTGCTCTACCTTCGAATGGAGGCCGTGCAAAATCCGTACAATTGCGAATTCCATCGCGTGAATTACGATCGATTCCTCTCTCCATTGCCGCCTGGAGGCACGTGTTCCGCGCATCAAACCAACTTGTGTATGTATGTCGCGGAAAAGACGCCGGGCGGGAATCCGTATATGAAAGCGAGACGAGCGGGCAAGTTTATGCCCAAGGATCTGCCGCCATCGCCGCCGTTGATGGCGGATGTGTTCGCGGCCTTTCCAACCACGAAAGGGGAAGTCAAACAGGTTTGTTTTGCGACTTTCGGAGATGTTGCTTGTTTGTTTTCGACGCTCTTCTCGCAGTTGTTTTTCTCGCTTCTCCTCGGGTGTCCCCGTGTACTGCAAGTTGAGGTTGGCCATTAAATTCCTTCGACCTTCCTTTTTTTTTGGCATTTTCGAAAGAGAATTCTATGAAAAGAATAATAATCCGTCGTTAATGGAGGAACGCCTGATTTCAATTGTCAACGATTATTGCTCTTTCGAACGTTTAGAAGCCCCTATTCTCTCCTTTTTTGAATGCGTTTACAGTATTTCCAATCTGAAATAGAATGATGAGGTCACGAAACCGAAGCTTCTTAGGTAATGAAGCAATTAAGTTTAATTGAATCCTCGAGATTTAGATTATCAAATAGATACAGTAATGTATTTCCGAAAGTCCGGCACCTCGGTGTGATTTCTTTCTCAGCGTTGAATCGTGATTCTGCGATGAAAAGGAGATGGTTCTGAAGCATCGTTTGAAAGTCGTTCGCAAGATTGAAGATTGCTTTTACGGTCGAAAAGAAAAGAGGAAAAGAAAGAGAGAGAGAGAGAACTGTGGAAGCGTCCAAACCCCGCTTTGAGGGAACGTCACGCGAGTGAAACGGTTTTTCTTTCGGTCGAGTTGGGTTGGGTTGGGTTCCATAAGTCGACGTGGAGAAGAAGAAAGAGTTATTCTCTTTTTCGAGAGCTTTTCGGTAGTGTGGTTTCATCGTGGCACCGAAGTAAATTCACGGAGTTACATCCAGATATCCGCCTCATTCATTTCATTTAATTTTTTCCTGGAGGTGGGATTTGCGTTTTCCGTAATCGGACCTGTCGGTTCTCGGGTGTCTTTTTCGCTTCTCCTGCGGGTCTTCCGCATTAACGTAATTTCGTTCCCGAATTTTTAAAATGACAATTTTGTTGAATCTTTCCGATGAAGATAAGTTTCAGGGCGTCTCAAGCCTCCATGTTGATTTTTTTGGAGTGTCAACTGACGGGAATTTCCTTCGTGCCGCATCTCAAGTAAATGAATTGGAAAAAAATAATTCTTCTCATAAAATACCTTGGAAGTAATCTCGGTCGTTTCTTGAACAGGTCGGAAATCTTTTGGAAATTGTTCCGACAGTCAAGGAAGAAATCAAGGAATCTGTCTCGACGATACCAGATGTTGTTGCCGAAGGAAACCCTTCGTTTGGCGCCCAAGTAGGGGAATCTCAGGTAAGGATCTTTCTCCAAGATGCGTAAAAGTCTACGGCTGCTCCAGAAATATCCCTTTTGAATCCGAAACCCAGAAATTTAATTTTGCGGGACGCATCGCATATCTCTCTGTCTCTCCAGGTTATCGCTGTTAAGTTGCACCGCGTCGGAACACAAACGACTGATGACGATTTCATCAAGGGCGATGATGCGAAAGAAACATCTCAGGAGAAGGAAAAGAAAAACCCTGACATTGCCGGCACGCCGTCGATTGATTCAACTGCCAACGTGAAACGTAAATATTTATTTTCGGCCTTCCAGCTTTTTATTGGATTATATTCCGAGCTTTTTATAGGATTATTTGTACTAGACAATTTTCCCTGTTCGCTACTCGAAGGTCTTGAAGATGATCAGACACTTCTGACCTAATCCACCTGTTAACATTAAACTTTATTTTCTGCTGTGAGCGTAGTGAGGTTTACGTTCTAGTGTTGGCCTCATGTTATTCTTCGGATGATCTGCCACTTCATAAAAATGAAGAGGTCCGAAAGCCTTCGTAAAGATGAAGTTACAGTATAATGCATACGGAGTTTCTTGGAAGGTATCGGAATGAAAATGGAACACCAGCAAAACTCCTGAAATTGTTTTTACTTCGAAAACTTATTCCGTTGTTTTCGGCTTTTTAGCCCCGTTGAAAATAATTTTTGCTATCCAAGCCAAAGAATCAAACCCAAGAATATTATAAAAAATTTATATTTCAGAAATTTTGGCTTGCTTATACTGTACACCACTTGCATCACCCTTCCTCTCTTTAAAGAAACTTTTATAGGAACCCCTCTTTCAGATGCAAAATCTTTCTAAAATCGGACGGTTCACGGTTGCATTGGGTTGCATAAAGGAGGAGAGGGTTTGTAAAAGCAAATCAATCATGATGGAAATTAAATGCATGTTCATTATGTTTTTGACTGTAAGCATATTCATTTTTGCTGTGCGTGTGAAACGGCCTCACTTCCGTGGAAGCATAGTGACAGTAACTTTTTGGTGTCGAAAAGGATGATCACATCGCCGAAGTTGAATAGTTCTAAGCTTGATAAAAAAATATCAGATGTTTTTTTTTCGAGGTTTTTTGTTTTAATTTAGTTGAGTTTTAGAGCCATTATGAAAAAAGATTGCTGCTGCTTGGTTAGAAATCAAACTTCCGGTTGAGTTGCGATATTTTTGCTTCGTTCAGCATCTTGTTTACTTGAATCCTAGATTTAAATCCCTAGGCTAGAAGTAAGGCTGAAAACCCCAGAGAAATTAATAGAACTGTTTCGAAAAGTTCGAGGTAAAATCTTGTGATTTTATGGGTCTTTATTTGAGTACAGTACTGCACTTCTGCAAACACCGTCGTATGCTGAAATCTGGATCTCGCTTTTTTTTGGTTGTCCAACCTAATGAAATGTTCTACTCCAGTTAGTCGGATGACGAATTCTTACGAAATTCAATTTCGCTTGAAAGTTATCTCGGTAAATTCATGAATAAATACAGTATAGGAATCCCACAGTAGAATGTTCAAAACAAATCATGAAATTTAAAATAGCAACGAAGACATCCAGAAATGAGAAAAATTAGTATCCTCATGAATATAAACTTGTTTCACTCCCAGAGTCCTAGTGATGGCCGTATTTCAAGGAGGAACTTCATTTTTTTCATGTAACATTTGAAGAAGGTCTGTAATAGCAGGCAAAAATCATTCCGCGCATAACCCTGAGTGCTGTACTATTGCACAGTTCAGGCATAGTATTCATAAAATTATTCATGGAATTTTCCTGGCGCGTTTTAGAATGGCACCCACGTAAAAGGCGAAGGGAAATTATATTCTAACGTTATGGATTCATGTGAGCCTCCTGGAAAGGTCTTCTGATTTGTTTTGCCATCAACGTTCCGTATTCCTCGTTTTATCATTCTTCATGAAGTATCAAAATTATTTGTCGATGTCTGCACCACAAATGCGTATGTTCCACTTGTGTATCGTTCAATAGGAATCTCCTCGATTAAGGCCATATCATTTTCATCGAATATTGACAAATTCCGTGAGCTATTTTGTTTTGTTTTTCCTTCTCCAGCGAAACGACGGAAGAAGAGGAAGAAAAAAGAAAAACGTGTTATGCGTCCAGTGCCTTTGCCTCCACCTCCGTCGAAGGGAATTCTTATCTCAGCTGGGTTCTGGTGAGAATGTTTTCATCGTGTCTATTATTGTGGGAACGCAGCAGAAGCTCTGTGTGTTTTCATATCTCATGACAGGCACATGAAATCTCACTCGTATACTTTTGAATTCGCATTTTTGAAGGTGAACATTTTGTGTGTGTCTGAAAACAAGGTTTTTACCCATTAAAAGTAACAAATGCTCAATGCCTCACATTTTTCTTGGATTGTCCCCTTGGAAGAGCCCAATCGAATGTCAGATTATTGCAATTTTTGTTATTCTCTAAACTTCGGGAACTCAAATTAATTTTCTCAATGTCTTCCTCTCTCGCATCCTCATTTTCCGCGATAACGTGATCGACCTTTGAAATAGCTGTACCACACGTGTAATTCCAAACTTGAATTACAGTATCTAGAAATTTAAGAAAGAGAAGGACGAAGCAAAAGAAAAAATCATCACATGGAATACAGGTGGCCTCTCTCTGCAACAAAATTCGGAGGACCAAAAAAATTCCATGTAGCGAAGATTTCGTTGCTGAGAACTCTTATAACATGGGGATAGAGCCCTATGGGACCAAAAAGAAAATTCGTTGGTCAGAGAAAATCGTTGTACAGAGAGTCCACCTGTGAACAGTTTAATCTCGTTACAGAAAACCTCGTCATAATGAATGCATGTGATGGATTGCTAAGAATTCATTTTTGGTCCTCATCCAATAGCTGCGATGTTCTTTGAGTTCGCATATGATGAATTTTTCGTTACTGTATAACGAAGCAATTTTACTGACCCTTATGCCTTCGTTTTACCGACATTTTACTGTACAGTACCTGTACCTATTTGTCTTTGGTATTTAGAATGTTCTAGAACTTCTGCGAGGGTTTACAAAAGTTCGAAAAGTCGCCAAAAGCCATGAAAATATTGAATTGAATACGCAAAGTTTGAGATGTACATTTAATAATAAATAAATATTGTCAATGCTGAATTCTTCCTGTTGGTGGCAGCCGTATTATGTATAATTCCTTACTGTACTTTCCGATGTGCCATTGAAATATCATATAGGATGACAGCTTTTTTTCTGCAACGTGGAAATTTGAGAACCCCTGCGATAGTTGCGGTTTACGAATACTTCACCTGTACTGTATATACTGTATATACATATAAATACTGTATATTTATTCATCGACAGCCGCCTTCACAGCCGCCACATTGGCCCCGATGTGGCGGCTGTGAAGGCGGCTGTCGATGAAAATGGCGGAANCCCCAATGTGGCGCAATGAAAATGGCGGAATTGCCTTGGATGACCTGGAGGCAACCCTTGGAATCACTGCCACATTGATTTCAAGAATTCGGAGGGGAAAGCTGGGCCACAAAAAAAAAACTGCAGGAAGGGTGCCTCATCTGTTGAGTGGATAGCAAAACTCTGCCTGGGTGAATTTTGCAAAAAATTAAAAAAAAAATTGTCAAACAGGGCTGATTTTTTTTCGTGCCGAAGAATATGTTTGCCCTAAAGAATGATTTTTTTTTCGGCTCGATTAGACGCCATTATCATTTTCATTCCGAGAACTTTTGTTAGAACCCTCGTATATATATAATGTATATATTTATTTTTAATTTTTTTCATCAGTGAACCCAGCGAACACGCGAAACGGTTCGGTGGCGGTGCGAGGTTCGTCAAATTCGCCGACGGATTGAGGCCCGGAGAAGGCTCGACGCCGGAACATGACGACGAGCGGGTTTCGTCGCCGCCGCCACTGCACAGCGCCTGTACGTACGACCGCGATGAGTACGAAGGCAGTGGGCTCGACGACGACGACGACGGCGCCTCCACTGATCGCGAATGGTCGTCGAGCGACGAGGCAGTCGACAAGAAACCGTGGGAAGTCGACGCGAACAATGTGAGAACGTCATTGTCTTTTTATTTTTTATTTTTTTTTATTTTAGCAGTTGAACGTCTGACTTGTGCCCATATTTAAAGAAATGGCCTCGTTTGGACCAGTTCCTGAAATGACGAGATCAGGAACCTCGATTTTTTTTAAAACAATAATTTCGTTTTGAGTACCGCGGATTTTGAGAATTTCTGTGGAAAACTTGTATCCGGCTTTAGTTGGAGAAATTCTACATGGAATTGAAGCAACAACAAAAAAAACGGCTTCCCTCAGACTCCAGTTATATGCTTGAAGTGTTGGCGGAAAAATTATGTTGGATTGCAAAACACGAGAAACTGTGATACAGAGTAATCTTTGCGAAACTGGATTCCCTTCACGAGTGAATTCACTGAATTGAATTCAAACTTGTGGTATCTCAAGTTTAAAAATTGTATTTAAAATTAAGAATTGCGTTTTGTCAAGATTATTGTCTTAACAATTTATTTGGCATATTGATGATAAACTGGCCGACAGAGCAATTCATTGATACCCTACCTCTTTGATTTACCCCTTTCAAAAATTATTGAAAGAGAAATGCATGTTCAGATCTCGAGGTTACGGTTGAATCTACTCATGGAAGTGAATTCTGACTATCAGTATAAACACTTTAGAAAGAAAAGCCGATCCTAACCCCACACCCTCTGGCGCAAAGAATGGACGAGGGCTGTCAAACACAATCCTTGACTCGGGGCCTTGACTCTCAAAAACGTAATCAAGCCACAGTATTCTTGGATCAATTCCATGAAGTTCATCTGGAAATTTCTGGAATGACGGACACTGTATGTCATTTGCCTAGATAACCAGGAGAATATAAGTTACTATTCATAAAGAACAGTAAATCATGCGAACAACTGCTGGTGGACTAAAAAGTGTAAAAAACTCAGCATTTTACAAAATTTAGCAACACTTTTCTGAACGACGGGTTCTTCTGAAAATAAAATAAAAATGTCAGATGGACCTGGGACTGCGAAAGATAAATGAATTTCGTGTTATTTTGGCTTGTAATAATCAGTTTTGTTCTGCAAAAATTCGCTGGACCCGTTCTTTTTGTGATAAAATCGCAATGGTTGTTGAACGATTTTGGGAGCCATTATGCAGGCATCTGCGCGAATACTCAAAAATTCACGCGTACAGATTTGAAAGCTGGAACGACACCCTTACGAATCGAACATTTTGCAGAATTTTAAAAATATTTTTCCTGTTCCCGAAAAATTATGGGCGAACGAGGGGTCTAACAAAAGTTCTCGGAATAAATTGGAGCTGGGCTACAGCGAAAATTGAATAAAATGCGAGATGATTGCCTCACCATGTGGGTGAAAAGTAGAAAGCTGCTGGGGTGACTTCTGCAAAAATGTTCGTGAAAATATGTCAAACAGGGTTGATTTTTTTTTGGTGCCAAAGAATGTTTTCTCTGAACGAGAATTGCTTTTTTTAACTCTGTTGTAAACCATTTAAATTTGGATTCTGAGAAGTTTTGTTGAATCCGTCGTATGTAGAAAAAAGTTCAAAACTCAAAAATCGAGGTATTGTATGTGGATTATAAATTAATTAGTCAAGCAGTTGACCGTTCGCCGATAAATTCTGGTGCACATTAACAAAAATTCGTTTATTTCGTAATACAGTATTGTGTACCTGTTTGCTGTTGAAAGTGCTACTTTTACTGTAAAGAAGAAAATTTTCCCATGATGCATTTTCGAGGCTGACATTTTTCGTTTTCCCTGAAGATCTTATCATTTTAACCGAAAAACTAGTCGTTTTTGTTGTTGTTGTTGCAAACGTCTAGTAGTTTTTCATTCTCACTTTCCGACCTTGGAGTACAATAACGTAGCTTGAAATTGTATAGTACCTGTGTATCGCCGTTGAGTTTCACTTCTCCCCGACGATGGAAAACCGGAGCAAGAATTGCCGATCCGTTTCAGCCTGATGGAACGAATCGGTTTTCTGTTATGCAGTATCGGGCCGTAGTTAATTTCTTTCGTTCATGCCAGTCTTGATCTCTCTTCACTAAAATTATTCGGGGTTTCAACAACAGCTTTCCTTTTGAAAAAGTGTGTCGTCGTCCAATTTAGTGTTCCCAACCCTTTTGGGCCTATTAAAAAAATTCTGCTGGCTTGCAAATTTTAATCAAATTTTGGCAGACTGAAAAAAGTTCTGCTTGAAAGACTATATGACAAATATTTAGAAAGGGTGTGCTTTTTTTGTTGCAAAAATCAAGTTGAGAACCAATGAAGCAGCTTCAGTGCAATGTCTTCAAAGCATTCGAAAAATGGGCTTGGAGAAAGGTTTCTCAGAATGAAAAAAAAAATTTCAGCAAGTGAAAATTTGTCTGGAGTGTCATGGGAGAAAAGCCAACTTTCATTCTTTCATCAGATATTTTCAACGACGAATGTCTTTCCATAATTTCAGGTGAAGATAACAAACTTCATTGCTACTTTTGCTAAATTTATTTTACTCGAAAAAATGTCCCGCGGACCGGCGCCGGTCCGTGGACCAAAGGGTTGGAGAATAAGGATCTAGTTTATTCTAGTTGATTTGGGCAACGGTGTACGATTCTCTGTTGTTTCTAGGAAGATGAGTTTGCGGACGACCAGGACAACGGAAAGTGCCCTCCTCCACCTGGGAACCCGTCGTTGGAAACTATATCATTGCAGCACGCTTTGCATTTCTATCAAGCGCACCAGGAATGGGTCACTTTTGACCGAGCTCTCAAGACAGGCAAGTTGCGTCATTAGTCTTTATCGGCGAGTGTGTGTGTGTAATTGATGCATTCTCCCGAATCATCCGTACTGACGCGTACGATTGAATTACAGATGTTTCTTACCATTTTTGAAAGCTGCCTCGCAGTAATTTTGCGTTGACGTGCTCGTGCGATGTAGCACAATTTCATCGATGTGTGAGGGTTCGGTTGGGCTATTTTGTAGGATTCAATTTACATCAGTGTTCCCCAACCTTCTTGGGCCCAGCAATTTTCCAAAAACTGTTCTGCAGACCATCAAAGTTTCACGAAATTTTTGCAGGCTTGGAAATTTTGTCTGAAAGACTTCATGGCAGGTATTTAAAATTTATATGCTCTTTTGCAAAAATAAAGCCAAGAACCCATGAAGCAGCTTTAATGGAGTTTCTTCAAAAATTAGAAAGGTGTGCTTGAAGAGGGGTTTCTCAGAATGAAAAATTTATATACAGTAATTTGTTCCAGCGTGTTAAAATTTGTCTGAAGTGTTACTAAGAGAATGGTCAACTTTTATTCATCAGATAATTTCAATTGCAATTTATTTTCAAAAATGCAATTGAAAATGATGTATTTCATTGATACTTTTTATAATTTTATTAGGCTGAAGAAAATTTCCCGCGGACCGGCGAAAATCTGCGGACCGCTCCCGATCCGCGTATCACACACATGTTGAGGAACACTGGTCTTGATAGAATTTTGGGATTGGTTTGGATTAGTTATGACTTCTTGTTTTGAAGGGAAGTGAAAGACCAAATCGGTAAATGAACCCATGCCTCGAAGTTCAGCATCCAGTAAACTCATTGAAGAAGCAATTTAATGCCCAGAATAACCCCAATTAATATTTACTGTGCAGTAATTCTTCCTTCTTTTCCCCCAACAGAAAAGTTCGCTTCCTTAAATTGAATTTTTTGTCAGTCCCTTGCATTTCAACTGTATTGTGATCGACTCTGTGAAAATGAGTTTTTGTGATTTGTATTTTCTTTTATTTTTTGACGCAGCATTCACTGAAGAGAAATTGAACGCTCGCGGCTACGCGTACTATCACAACTACGCCAAATACGTTTGCAGCTGGCTGGCAACTGCGATGAAGATCAAGATGAAGCAATACGTTCTGCGAGCCACGGGCACATGTAGCACTGGAGGGATCGAAGGAGCTGCCAATGGGGACCTGGTTGCCACGGGCCATGAACCCTGGCCCGTTGATTCGTCGTCGGTGTCCAATTCACCGGTGGACGTTGTTGCTCCGACTCCGGCGGCGGTCGTGTCAGTGGCTTGAAGAATGACGCTTTTACTGTTACTACTGATTTTTTTCTGTTGTTCTTTTCGGATGTCGTGGGTTGCTGAAAATGAAGAAGAAAAGGGGGGAGGCGTCCTTTCGCCAAGGCGGATGATTGGTAGAATTGTATCCTTTTCCTCTGGTCAGTTTTAATCCCCTCGTTTGTGAGCAAATTGAGCAGATTTTCTTCGAATATCGCAGAATGTCATTTGGTTCGAGTTCTACTTTTTAATTGTCCCGGGTAGTTTGAAGTGGAAATTCTTGAAAGTGGAACGAAAGTTTCTATTCTTTGAATGCTTTCATTGCCCTTGGAAAGCGTAATGAGAGAAGGATCTTTTTTATATCACCACAAATTCTTCAGGCTTCAATCTTAGTTGGCCACACCGCCCTTTATTTTTTTCCTTCCACGAAAAAGAAAACCTTTGTTTCGCCGTTCGGTTGTTTGTATGAGGCCAACTTTTGCCTCAGAAGTCCGAGCCTGGAAATTTAATTGTCAAGGTTTTGTTCGTGCATTCGATTGTGTGAGTGACGCTGGGTTTTTTTTTTTTTCTTTGAGGGGACATTTGCTTCTGTGGGTGAAATTTTTGCCAACGCTCGTTTGACGTGAACAATAAATCGCGTGCGTTGAACCGATTTGTTTCACTCAGTTGCGTTCGGAGTTGAATTCGGCGCGGTGCTCTTTCAAAATTTGACCATTGATTTCGTGTATATATTTTCAGATAAGCTACGTTGATGTTCTGCTTCATGGATTAGCGGTGGAAATCGAGTGAGTTTTTGTTCTCCGCTATTCGAAAAATTTTCAGGGGAAATTATATTTATATTTTTAAAAGTTCGCGCTCAATTTTTCGCCACGGATTTTGAAATGGATGTCAGTACAGTTCTTTCGTTCGGCCAAAAAGCCTACAGTGAAACTGAAAGAGCAAGCATAGTGACGAGCAAAAGTGGTGCAATTCTTTTTTTTTTCCTCGAAACTCACTGATCGGAACTTTCTCCTCACCTCGGTGCCTTCATTTAAAATTAATGAAATTGAACTTGATGGTTTTTTTACAGGAGCTGAAATGGAGGGCGGGACGAAGACCCCGAGCTCGGACTCGAAGGAATACCGCCTGAAGCCGGAAGAAGAGCTTCGTTTGGAAGTGGCGGAAGGGAAATCGGATTCCGTGAAGCTCGAACTCGCGCAAGGGATGGCTGAGATATTCGGAACGGAGTTGGTCTGCGGCAACAGCTACTCTTTCGGTCCCGGCTCAAAGCTGGCCGTGTTCACCTGGCATGGCTGCACACTGTCCATCAAGGGCACCCCGGAAATGGCCTACGTGGCCCGAGACACCCCGATGATCATCTACCTCAACACGCACGCCGGCGTCGAGACGCTGCGGAAACGGGCGGAAAAGGCGGAGAAACGTGGCCCGGTTGTGATGCTGGCTGGGCCAGTGGACGTCGGGAAGTCGACGGTGACGAGGATCCTGTTGAATTACGCGACGAGGATGGGACGGTCGCCGTTGTACGTGGACCTGGATGTGGGTCAGTCGGGATTCGGCATCCCCGGCACGATCGGGGCGTCGTTGGTGGAGCAGCCGGCGTCCCCGGATGGAGAGTTTGCGAATAAGGCGCCGTTGTTGTACCATTACGGGTCGTCCAACATGGGGGCGAATCCGAAGTTCTTCAAGGAGCTGTGTCGAGTGATGGCGGATGCGGTGCAGAAGAGGCTGGATGCCAGTAAAAAGGTCGAGCGCATTTTCTACGCTTCTCATTTTTTTTTTTTTTTTTTGCGGACGATATTGGGGTTGAAATTCTACCGTCTAAAACACCTTGATGTTACGAAAGAGATATACACTACCGTATTTACTTGAATGTACAGTGCAAAAGACAGCATTTTGTGTCACGAAAAATAGCTCATATGAATTTAAACGCGCTTTTTATGTGACGGTGCTTTTAGGTTTGAAGATGATTTGTCGATTGTTCCTGACCAGCAAGATTTTTCTTGAGAAAATCAAATTTTTGAAATTTGATAGTTGTAAGTTTTATTTTTTCACTTCTAAAGTACAAGCGTCTATCCTAAATTCTGTGGGAAGTTTACAAGGACATGAGGTTATCGCACAAGGTTGAAATGGATGCAAATAAAAGATTTTCCGTGAAGGAAATGAAATTTTTTCGATGTATTGGAGTAGACACAATTTTAAGACACAGAGTTCACAAGGATACTACAGCTGAGTTCGATTTCCGAAGCAAGCGTTCGACAAAAATGTTCTGCATTTTAAAATTAAAAATTGATGAAATTCGCACGATTGGACAGTATGAGGGGAAACATGTGGCTGACCGTATTCACTGAGACGCTCTTTTTACTTTCAGTTTCTATGAAGTCAGGTGCTTCTACTCATTCTTTGCTTACGAGATGAATATCTGCAAACACTTGCGAAACAAATTTAGTATATTCTGCCTTGGAACAGAATACTGTATCATCGCACCCATTTTTTGCGACTGAATTACAGACACATTGTTCATTGAGAATATTGTAACGGTCACCAGCAAGCCTGTGGATAGAAAATTTCGTCGAATATACGACTGATTTGAAAAAGCTTATGTTGGAGAAGAAAAGTGTCTTGTTTTTGTTTGAAAAATGGTAGTTGAATCTCGAATCTGCCTATGTCGACTTTTTTTTTTTAGTCCCTGTCTGAATTCTCTTGGAAGCAATGCATTAAGAACTTCCTTCTCCACTTCGATCATCCATGACTCAAATTTTCTGAAGGCCATTTGACTATTATTTTCTTGAGACTGGAAGAGAAGAGCATTTGGAATATAAATTGATGTGTTTTGAAAGAAAGTGAGAGATTAATTGGGAAAATGAACCCTTCCTTCAGCACACTGTCAACTAATTTAAGAAGCAATTTAACGCCCAGAATGTCACCAATAAGATATTTTTAGCGGGGTCTCGACTTACGAACGCCTCTGAAATATCCATTTTACGAACTTTTGGTTTGTGCCTCAGCTGCCCCAGTTTAAAAACCCTGACCTAGCTTACAAGCTTCTTTCTTCTTTTATCTGTTGTTTTTGTAATTCTTCTTTCTCTCCATGGGAGTAGCCGACCCTCACGAATATAACTCATGGCGGTCCCATTTCATTTCATCTTCAGGTGAAGTACTCGGGGGCATTGATAAACACCGCTGGCTGGGTGAAGGATGAAGGCTACTCCTGCCTCCTGTTCGCCGTGACCACGTTCAACGTGGACCTCATCATAGTCCTCGACCAGGAACGACTCTACAACGAACTGGTTCGTGACGTACCGCCGTCGGTACACGTGGTGTACCAGCCGAAGTCCGCCGGTGTCGTGGAGCGCAGCAAAAGAACGCGATTCGCGAGTCGCATGAGCCGCCTGAGAAACTATTTTTACGGGAATTTTGAGTCGACGTATTTTCCGCACACGTTCGATGTCAAGTTTTCGGATTTAAGGATCTTCAAGATTGGGGCGCCGGTGGTGCCCAAGTCGTGTTTGCCGATCGGGATGACGAACGAGGACGCCGAGATGAAGCTGGTGCAAGTGGCGCCGTCCAAGGAGTTGTTGAATCACATGTTGTCGCTGAGTCACGCGACGGTGGACGACGAGAAGACCATCTCGACGAATATTCGAGGGTTTATTTACGTGACGAATGTGGACGTGGAGCGGCAGACGGTGACGATTTTGTCGCCGCAGCCGAGGCCTTTGCCCGACGGCGTTTTGCTTTGGAGTGACGTGAGGTTCATTGACGCGAATTGAGAACGTCAGGAGATAATTTTAACTTTTTTTTCGTTTTTCGTGGGGTTTGTGCGACGTTCAAATCTATTTCCTTATGCTCTGAACTTTCCGTTTTTATTTTTCTCTCCCTTGTTTTTTGCTACGAGAGTAAAACTTGAATGTGTTTGTTGACTGATAAATTCTTTAAAAAAAAAGCGGCTTTTGTCAATCGTGCGAGAACCGTCAAGTGCCTTGGAATTTCAAATGAACGCAGACATCATTAGTAGGTGGTCAGATTATGCAGCGAAATTCATTATGCTCATTTTTCTACGCACCAGAGATTGATCTGTTTTATATTATATGAGCATGCTTGCTTTTGTGTGTGAAAGTGGGATCAGCGATGATGATGATAATCATAAAATTTTCATTTCACTCACAGTAATAGCTGTCTTAAGCCACTGTTCCCCAACCTTTTTTGGCCCACAGACCAGTCAAATTTTCATAAAAGTTTTTGTGGACCAGCAAAGTTCTGTACACTTTTGCCAACCAGCAGACATTTTTCGAATACCTGCCATACAGTTTTCATAGCAAAACTTTAATTGCAAAAATTAATTTAGGAACCAGTAAAGCTGCTACAGTGGAATGTCTTCAAATATTAGAAAGCTGGGCTTCAAGAAAGATTTCTTGAAATGAAAACTTAAACTAATTTATTTCAGCCATTGAAAATTTTTCTGATGTGTAGAAAAGCCAACTTTCATTTTTCATCAGATATTATGAACTGCCATTGTCTTTCTGAAATTTCATTTTAAAGAACAGATTTCATTACTACTTTTGATAAATTTTTTATGCTGCCAAAAATGTCCTGCAGAAAGGCAAAAATTTCTGCAAACTGTCACTGGTATGTTGTAGACAAATTATCCAAACACTTCACAGTACTAGAATTTGCAGGTGTAGCTTTGGAAATAACAGATGCATGAAAGGTCTTCCCGTTTTACACTTCAATTAATTATTAAGCTGTTTTCCTCTTAATTGAAAATGCCCAATTGAATTTCACCAAAAAGAGTTGAAAATGATGTCCCTTCAATGTACTGTACAGTGCAGGAAAGTTACAGAAGCCCATTAAAATGTGTATGACCAATTTTCCACAAATCTTCACTCAAATGTTCTCAGAACTATGAATCTTGATATAACAGTTTTTGTGAGATACCTGTGGGAGTTCATTTTAACAAGGTCTTATTACTGCATATGCATAATTTTTGCTGCTGACATTTGCTCCTTGGATGAAAGACTGGTTTGATGGTTACTCACGGTTTCAATTTCCCTGGGATGTACAGATCCAAAGGGATGAAAGTCATGTTTGAAGGTCTTTCAGGGTTTTATTTTAATTTTTTCAGCGTTTTGTTGAATGCCAATTCAAGATGGGTCATGATTTGATCCGCAAAGGCGAGAGATCTCGTTTTAGAAATTTAGAAGCTAATCTTGTGTCGCAGAACGTATGGTATGATAGAAAACGCTGATCATGAATCGGATGATCCTTCATTCACCCTGAAAAATGTCATCTAAAAAATGTCTGAAGCAATACAGTGATGAAAAAAACCAGCCCGTTTCAACCCCAAACCGATTTATATTCCACCAGCCAGCGTCATCATAAGTGCTACAAGGAAAGCAACACAAGGATGGATTTCATAGCAGCGACTGAGGTGCAAGCCTTTGTCCGAGTATCGTAGCAAGTTTGAGGCAGACATTTGACCACGTACTTCTTGATCCGATGATCACTTCCGTCGAAGAAGCAGTGGTAGTAGATGTCGCAATGATCCACGTCGGGAAAGTAGCCCGGCCGAGGGCACTCTTGCTCCAAATGCAAGGGTTCTCTCACCAACCGCATAAATCTGACTGCAGGCCTTGCTGAAGATGATGCTGAATGGCGATAACTGTTTGGATCCAAGACTAAGTGAAGAGTTTCGCAATGGTCCGGGAAAGGCAAAAATGTGGATATAAGGAGGACAAGGGTCCTGAAGTTCATGCAATGAAAATGTGGTGGAACATCCACAAATTTGTACTGTTACTATGTAGTGAAGATCTGCATGAAGGTTGTGCAGGTTTACCTTGGAGCAGTGCTGCCCAATAAAAAAGAATTCAATACAGTGGATCCTTGGTTAATCATCTTGATTGATGTTACCAGATAAAAGTTTGTTTACCAAATTTGATTTTCCCATAGGATTCAATGGAGAACCAATTAATTGGTTCCTTGCACCCAAAAAAAATTGCAGATACAGGTGGTACCTTGCAATTTGACCCTAATCTGCTGCTGGACTAGGGTTGAATTGCCAAATTGTGAGACAACATCAAATTGCATGTTTTCTACATGGCATTTTATGTTCTATGTCTCTTCACAGGTCAAATTGTGAGGCAGAGGTCAAATTGAGAGTCAACCTCTCAGCAAATTTCACCATCACATTGTGGGATGGTTGAATTGCAGGAGGTCAAATTGCAAGGTACCACCTGTATAATGAAACAATATTTAAGAACAAACGTCTAATCCATATTAGTTACTGTAGCATGCTCTGTATGTTTAACCCTTGTGCAGTGAAGTTGGGATATCTTCAAAAAATTGTGCTCCCGTGAGCACTAAAAATTAAAAAGTTAAATTTTTGAAGCAAGGCATGAGTTGGGGAAAAGTCCAATATTTTCTTATAATCCTTCAGAAAATTTTTCCTGAAAGAAATTCCTCACTGGGTGATGTTATTTCAGGAATTCCTGGCAGAGGAACTGTATTGGAAATTTATGAAAACAATAGTTATTCACCCTTCCAGGATTTTTCCCAACTTAGGCCTTTCCAACCTGGGTGCATTTCAGTGACCTTTGGTCAAATTGAAATGTGTCACACTAACCCCCAGAAAAATCTCAACTTTACTGCTGGATGGCCAGGAACCATCTGCTGTCCAAGGGATAACATGTTTTGTAGGTTTGCATGGAACTATGACCAATCAAAACAACACAGAGAAAGCTCAACAGTCATCACACAGGAAAACATTCACATATGAGCAGGATATTTGCCACCAGAAAATAAAATGCTCAGCTGTAGAACAATGGAAGCAACTAGAAAAATAAGTTTTGAAGTGCATTTTTCCACAGCTTCTTTACAACTGTGTACCATTTTTTGAATTGATTCTGCTCAACCATGGAACACCCACTTTTATTTACTTCATTTTGAACAAACCTTATAAATCCTGTGTAACCCTTTGACCATGTTAATGATTTTTCAGCTTGATTTGAACATACAAAATATTGGAACTGCAATTACATGGCAACCAACAATTGAATGGAATAACAAAATATTTTTTTTTGCCTGGGTGCAAAAGTTTGTGAACAACATTTTGGTTCGTTGACAGGGATTTTTCTTTGAGGACAAGAGTTTTTTAACCAAAAAGTTTGCTAACTGAGGGTCCACTGTATATTTTGTGTTGCCAAGGGACACATATATGAAAATGTGGAGTCCTTGCATGCCACATAATAAACTTTGATTTTGTAGGTTGCAAGCGTGCTACCTTTGAAAACATGTAAAAACTAATTTATGCTCCCAGCAAACCACTTTTGTGAAAATCTCCCAGAGTTTTGGATTTGGTCAGATGAAGTAACATTAAATCCTTTTGGTGAAATATGACATGATTCATTGCATTTATACCATACTTTGATGTGTTCTGTTTTTTTTTATAAATCACACCCAGAAAAATGAATGATCTCTGACTTTAAAGGCGAAAATGAATGAGCTGTTATTATAATATTACGGAGCCACGGGTCAGGCTGATATCTCGTGGGAATATCCTCTCTCACGGTCCCTGCCAATCGACTTTACTGCGGTCCAACTACATTCACTTATTCACAAGTCCACACAGTCTGGAAAAATTAAACAAAAGTAAAAAAAATTTAAATTTCCGCAACGTGTTCCTGCCCACAAAACACACGCCTTCGAAAAATCAATATTCAAACCGAACATGCCGGGAAACGAAGTCTGGATTGATATTCCGTGCACTGAAGAGTGATTTCGTTGAAAAAGTCACGACTTGTATCGAATATATTGAATACGCATCATTTGAAAAAAAAAACGAACAAAAAAATCCGTGACTGCGCGCGGAACAAATCTTTTTTGGCAGTCAACTAAGTTACTTCGGATCGTCACATTTGCAATTTGAGGTTAGTTTTTTTTTATAATGCGGATAAACAGGTGGCATGTATTTCAAGATTTTCTACGTTTAAATATACAGTGAGACCCCTACATGCAGACACCTTGACATGTTGGGAACAATTCCATATAGGGACATTTATTTTTCAAGAAAAAATCATTAAAAAGGCCCAACATATGGACATTGACTTGACATGAGGACATTGCATTATAAAATTGCCAATAAATTTCAGGAAAATTGACTTTTCTTAGGCTTAATTGCAAGAAATAGATATTTTGAACTGTAAGATCTATGCAAGAAAAATTCTTTGGTGCTTTTCCCACCACTTTTCCCATTCATTCAGCTAATTAAAAAAATTATCTATAGCACAGAGGGACTTTCTCTTTGTGACTTGGATGTTATTTTTACACATGCCAACATTTCATTGAACTAAACAGCAGTACAGTCAACCCCCGTCTAACGGACTTGATTCGTGCAAGGGACGAGTCTGTTAGACAAAAAGTCCTTTACACAAATTCAAATACATAAAAAATTAAAAATTGCAATTTTCAACACTAATTTTAAACCAAAAGAAGTCTGTTTGGCGGATTTTGTCTGTTGGGCGGGAGAAAAAACTGCTTGCAGAGCTGGTCTGTTTGGCAAAAATCCCTTACACGGGAGGTCTGTTAGGCAGGGGGCCACTGTATACTATTCAATGCTCCAAATGTTGTTATAGGGTTGAAAAGATGTTCACTGAATCACATTCAAGTGGCAAAATGTTTGCTGTAATCAGATTTGCGGTTGTGTTTTAAGGGTGTTGATCGTCTGTTCAGGCCAAGCGAATCTCTTGATTCTCATGATATTTTATGCTCTGCTGTATCATGAAAGTGCTTTTTATGTTTGCATGACAAAATCTTTCAACATTTTTGGTGCGCATATTTAAGGTTACTAATGTAATTTATGGCTTTTTATTCGTTTGTTATTACAGCAATTGTGTTTCGATATTTTTTTTGACCTTTGAAAGAAAACGTGGTTTTTTTGTCACACACACCAGATATACACATCATAGTCGCTTCGATCATTTTGTTGTTGTTGAAAAATGTAAAAATTGAGGAAAATATTGGAACAGCAGTAATTTTCATCTATGAAGCCCTGACATTTGTTGGAAAAATGATGCATTATAATAAGATTATTTAAAAAAATTGGGACTTCTTGTCGGAATTCAGGGATTAAATTCTTCAATCTGCGGTTTTTCTATCCATATTAGAACATTATCAAGCTAAATATCAATGGTTTCTCACAGAATATTTCAGAAGTTTTTCGCAACCGAGAAGCAACCGAGATTTTTCAGGAGAAATACTTTCCTATACTGTACCTATAATTGCCATGCTGAAAAATCTGTGATTTTTTGTGACAGTTTGTCAAATGCTATGACCAGTATACTGGATATCTAAATAGGGGATTTGTCTGTTCAGGCCAAGCGAATCTCTTGATTCTCATGATATTTTATGCTCTGCTGTATCATGAAAGTGCTTTTTATGTTTGCATGACAAAATCTTTCAACATTTTTGGTGCGCATATTTAAGGTTACTCATGTAATTTATGGCTTTTTATTTGTTTGTTATTACAGCAATTGTGTTTCGATATTTTTTTAGACCTTTGAAAGAAAACGTGGTTTTTTTGTCACACCCACCAGATATACACACCATAGTCGCTTTGATCATTTTGTTGTTGTTGAAAAATGTAAAAATCGAGGAAAATATTGGAACAACAGTAATTTTCATCTATGAAGCCTGCACATTTGTTGGAAAAAATGATGCATTACAGTAAGATTATTAAAAAAAAATTGGGACTTGTTGTCGGAATTCAGAGATTAAATTCTTTCAATCTGAGGTTTTTCTATCCATATTAGAAACATTATCAAGCTAAATATCAATGGTTTCTCACAGAATATTTCAGAAGTTTTTCGCAACCGAGAAGCAGCCGAGATTTTTCAGGAGAAATACTTTCCTATACTGTACCTATAATTGCCATGCTGAAAAATCTGTGATTTTTTGTGACAGTTTGTCAAATGCTATGACCAGTATACTGGATATCTAAATAGGGGATTCAGAATTTCTGCATTCCAAAATTGATAAAAAATCGATTGCATTTTCAGGAACCGTGGGAAAAACCAATGAATGTCAAAAGTTTATGATGTACAATGTGACCCCAATAATATGTGGACACCCTGACATACAGACAATTCAACTTAAAGACACTTGAAGCCAAAAAAAAGCAAGCCCAACATCTAGACATTGGCTCAAGTTAAAGACACTTTTCTACAAATTTACCAAAAAATCAAAACATTTTTTGTTTTATTTTGATATCTTTTGAAGAAATCAAGCTTGATTATTTAAGTTCAAAAAATTGCAAAAAATATTTCATGATAAACTCACTCTAATTCATTATTAAAAGCAAGCTGATTTTGTGCTTCTTTTTTCAGAGTTTTTTCTATCCTCTGCGCATATTCTAGCAAGACTTATTCATTTTCTTTGCTTTTTTATATCCTTTTGATACCAAAACATCAGATTCCGTGTGGCCTTGATCTGCACTTTTTTTTTCTGTGACTTGAAGTTGAGGGGAACAATTTTCATTAAATATTTTGAGGGATTACTTCTAATTTTTGACAAAAAGGAGAACCAATCAAATACATTAGCATTGAAGTCTAAGGGAAAGTGAGACATGACTTAGGGACATTCCAACATCAGGACACTCACGAGGCACGAATTATGTCCACATCTTGGGGTCTGACTCTAATTGGAATATTTACAACAGTTTGTCTAAAGTATTTCTGCTGCTGTGACCTTTAAACAATTTTTTCACAGTGATTAATGACCTTGGGAAACGAAAATTTTGACTTGACCTTTAATATTTGGATTCATACTAAAATGTGTGAATTATTTACCAGATGATGAACTTATTGAGGACGTGTGCTGCTCTATTGATGATCGTCGCATCAACATCATTAGCAATGGTCATTCATCAGCTTCCAAAAGATCCTGGCAACATTCTGATGAATTCAGAGCCCCGACATTCAATGATGAGTCTGGATGATTTCGATGGGATTTCCAAGAAAAACATGGAATACACGTCACAGCAAAAGCAAGATGACCAACAGATCTTCGATATTGACGCTGAAAAGCAGGCGCAGTTTCGGGCCTTGTTCGATGCCAACGAGCCTCTTGAAACAATCAGCAAGGTATTCCAATACTCTGTACTGTATTAAAATGTAGACATGGGCATTTATGTAAGACAATATTAATACAGTACTGTATTGATTAATTTTCCATTACAAAAAATTGCTCTCAAGTTCCTTACAGGAATTAAGAGCACAGATAAGTTGAATATAAAGAGATACTGCAGAAATTTCAAATAGAAGCATTTTTATTCAGGGTTTTTTTCTGTATTTGGGTAAGGGCGGTAAGCCTGATCCAGGAAATTATTATTTTTGGCCAAATGCATACATGTGGTACCTTGCAATTCAACCTCCTGCAAGAACCATCCAGCAATTCAAAAGTTAAATTTGGAGGGACCTTGACTTGCAATTTAACGCTTGACCTGGTCCATTTTTACACGTTTTTTGCATTGATATTTTTGAATTTCATAAAGTGTCTTGCAATTTGACCAATCCACAATTCAACTCTAGTTCAGCAACAGATTTGGGTTGAATTGCAAGGTACCCCCTGTAAAACTGCTCATTGTTTGTTTATGTCCTATATTCTGGAAAATATTTTATTGCTTGTGAAGAATGTAAAGAAAATAATTTGCAGTCATTTTGTTGTTCTTTTGGTTTCTGGAAAACGTGCTGTAAAATTTAGCCCCAATTTATTGACATAAAAATTTGTTTCCTTAAAAAAAACCAAATGAGGTTTTACCCAGAATATTTTAAGAGTTAGAAGGAATATGGTATACATTGAATTTGACCTGAGGAAATTGGTCAGGGAATAATTGGAATTCAGACCCAAAATGTTGTTGTGAAATATAGTTTTCCCTGTCTTCTAGAATACATAGTCCATGATAAGCTTTGGATTTTTTAGCTTTTCAAAAATGTATTAACTGGAAAAAACAGGCGGAAGTACATAGATTTTTTTATGATTGAATTTGAAGTTTCTCTTTTTTGAATGAAGCGTATAGAATATGACCAACTACGTACAGTTATTATTAACGGAAAGTTGAAATTTTCATTATTTCTAGCAAATTTGATAAATTCGATTCGTGCTGCGCCATAATTTCTTGATTGAAAAAAAGCTATGAAATTATAAAATGAAAAAATAACCAACTCATTCTACGCTATTTTTGAAGCATATGCGATATTTTTTTTTGGTTTCACGGGGAAATTCCATTTCAACTGAATATTCCTGCGAAAAATGTTTTGTCTAATGGAATCAAGATTCATTGAAAAAAAAATATCGGCCGCTATTCATAATAAGATGGGCGCACGAAAACAACTATAGAAAATGACTCAAACTCTCACGCGTACATTTTTCTCAAATTATACTCGCAATTGTCTTTTCTTTTCTTTGGAAATATCCTTGGTCATTAATCTTTTTTTTTTCTCTCCAGGCAATGGACTCGAATGTGCCAAAGAAACGGATCAAAAGAGTCAAGAGAGGTTCCAAGACGTTTCACCGAAGTCGCACCCAATTCCCTGACTTCAAAATCTCCCAAGCCTTATTGCACCCAAAAATTCCGATTGACATGGAAGAGATCATTTCTTCGGCATTCCAAGATCACCTCAAGGACGCTTTACTCAATCCGAAGCAGACTGTGACTGAATGGGAATTTTCCGAAAAATCTGGATTCCCTGATATCGAATCCAACGAACAGCATCTCTTGCGAGATTCTGGGGTTCAAAGGAAATCACTTATTGTCAATCACTTCAAGAAATATTCAGAAGGGCCGATAGTTAACAATAAAATTTTTAGATGAGAATTTTTGTGTGACAATATCCATCATTGAGCAAGAAATTTGTGTCGAGTATACATGATGTGATTGTCTGGTGGTGTGCGATTATACATTTATGCCATGGTTTATTTTCAAATGAAATAAGTTTTCTTTGTATCAGTTCTGGAGGCAAATTCACAATATTGTTGGTTAGTATATAGGGATGAAGGCAAACTATTTGCAATTTGCCAATTTTCGGCACAAAAAAGAGTCAAAACAGAAAGGAAAAAGTACATACCCTATACTGGATAGCGGTTGACTGCTGCAAAATAAATTTGTAGAGGGAATATGCACAATCGTGATGGACTTTTTTAAAACTGTTCTATGCACTGTGAGAAAGTTTAAGTGCTGTTGGTGATATTAAATTGAAGGCTGTCAGTTTATAAGTTTGCGACATTTTCAAGTTTGTTATAGTTATATCATTGCATATGTTATGTTATTTACCAAACAGTGGCTGAGCTTCTTTATCTGCTGGCCACAACTTATTTTCTCAAGAAAATGGCCTAAGTCAAGTTTTGCAAAGCTAAAATTGACACTATCAAATTTATTGTTGAAACTTCCTAAGTTTTCTACATTTAGATCAACTTTGAGCCAAGGAAAAATTGTCTGATTTTTGTCTTCACCCACAGGAACACTAATCTGTGACAGATTTCATTCCACCTTTTGGGAGCACAAGTAGACCCATGGTCCAATGCTCAAGTGAGCACCTAAAACTAACTTGATAGAATAATTTACCTGAGCTTATTTCAACCAACAATGGATATCTATACTGAAACTTCCAGCCAGTGAAATACAGTTCTGGAGCCTCAATCAAGACGCTGACATCAATTACTTCTATGACTGTCCCCATGACAGGATAAGCTCTCTTGTTTTGTAAAAAGGCAAAAATCCTCTTCACAATTAAATGAGAAATGTTTTTCTCAACCTTTAAATGCAGTAAACACCTTGTGCACATGAAAACCAGAAAAATGGCCCATTTTTGGCATGAAAAGAGTCTAAACAAAAGCTAAAAGCACATACATTACTGTATAGTGTTTGAATGCTACATAAAGGAAATTCGTGATAAAAATCCAAAATTTCGAAAGAAACATTTTAAATGTAGAAGCTGATAATATTTTGGATATTTTAAATTAGGGTGAATTTGTATTGTTTATAAGTTTGCGACATTTTCAAGTTTGTTATAGTTATATCATTGCATATGTTATGTTATTTACCAAACAGTGGCTGAGCTTCTTTATCTGCTGGCCACAACTTATTTTCTCAAGAAAATGGCCTAAATCAAGTTTTGCAAAGCTAAAATTGACACTATCAAAGTTCTTGTTGAAACTTCCTGAGTTTTCTACAATTAATTGGATCAATTTTTAGCCAAGGAAAAATTGTCTGATTTTTGTCTTCACCCACAGGAACACTAATCTGTAACAGATTTCATTCCACCTTTTGGGAGCACAAAGTGGACACATGGTCCAGTGCTGAAGTCAGCACCTAGAACTAACTTAATAGCATAATTTACCTGAGCTTCTTTCAACCCACTATTGAATTTTACTGAAACTTCCAGCCAGTGAAATACAGTTCTGGAGCCTCAATCAAGATGCTGACATCGATTACTTCTATGACTGTGCCCATGACAGGAGAAGCTCTCCTATTCTGTAAAAAGGCAAAAATCCTCTTCACACTTAAATGAGAAATGTTTTTCTTAACCTTTAAATGCTGTAAGTGTAAACCCCTTGTGCACATGAAAACCAGAAAAATGGCCCATTTTTGGCATGAAAAGAGTCTAAACAAAAACTAAAAGCACATACAGTACTGTATAGTGTTTGAATGCTACATAAAGGAAATTCGTGATAAAAATCCAAAATTTCGAAAGAAACATTTTAAATGTAGAAGCTGATAATATTTTGGATATTTTAAATTAGGGTGAATTTGTATTGAGCTAGATGTGTATTTCGAATTTTAGCTATATTTCTAATAGCTCAATTTGTTCAGCAATTTTCAAAGTTTTGAAAATAAACATTTTCAATTTTTCTGGAAATGTTTGCAAATTGTCCATATGCAATTTTCCAAGTGTAGGGACCGCTTTTTTGCGTTTGAAGAGTTTCTTTAATTCAAGTCATCCACATGCTTGTACAATAATCAAACAGCCAAAGGAAAAACAACATCACTACCGAGGAAAAACTCCACTTCTAGTGTGCCAATGATGGAGTCCTTCAGCAAGCATTGATTGTGATATTGCTTTAAAATTACTACATCCCTTATCTAGTGACATCAAAAAAAAAGTTGCTGCTTAGAAAAAAAAATGCTGATAAACAGGTGGCATGCATTTCTACCATTAAATATATTATTTATGATTTGATCGTGGACTGTGTCGCGGGTCCACTAGGACTAGGTATCGCCCAACACACGGACATCGCACTTCGAGACAACTAGATGTCGCCCATGGTTGCGCCGTGTCTCAAAGAACAGAAGGAAACAGAAAGAACAAACATTGCCAATATTTTGAAACACTACATGATAGAATCTTCATGAAATATTCCAAGAGAACCAGAAACATCCTGAGATATTCCTATCAAAAGGATTCCATAGAATTACAAGCATTTTTTTTAACCAAACAACCTTCAGGAATTTTTCCACGGAAATGGACCTGAGGCTGAACGCTGAAGGCAGCTGAAGATCAAACATTACAGCTCAAACTTTGAGACCATCACTTCAAGAGCTTGTGTTCTGTGCTTTAACAAATTGGATATTTGAAACATACAACTGATGGTGAGGACATTCCTCAGGCCACAAATAGCTAATTGTACTTGTACATTTGGCAGTCAACTATTAAGTCAATGGCCAATATTATTGTACTTTTACATTTGAATATCATTTGCCAACATATATATTGATTGCCTGGTTAGGCTAAGCAAATCTCCTAGTGTTCTCATGATATTTTATGCTTCAGTCAACTATTAAGTCAATGGCCAATATTATTGTACTTTTACATTTGAATATCATTTGCCAACATATATATTGATTGCCTGGTTAGGCTAAGCAAATCTCCTAGTGTTCTCATGATATTTTATGCTCTGCTGTATTATGAAAGTGCCTTTCAAATGTTTGCATGCCAAAATCTATTAGTATTTTTGGCGCGCACATTTGTGGTTATTCCTAATGTAATTTATAGCTCTTCATGTGTCTGTATTACAGCAATTGTGTTTCGATATGTTTTATACCTTTGAACGAAAACGTGGTTTTTTCTCTCTAGAAGCAGATAGTTGCCTGGATCATTTTTGTTGTTGAAAACTGTAAAAATCGGGAAAATCTTGGAACAGCAGTAATTTTCATCTATGAAGCCCACACATTTGTTGGAAAAGATAATGCATTATAATAGGGTTATTTAAAAAAATTTGGGACTCCTTGTCAGAATTCAGGGATTTAATTCTTTGAATCTGAGGCTTTTCTATCCATATTATAACATTATCAAGCTAAATATGAAAAGTTTTTTGCAAAAAAAGCAACCGAGATTTTTCAGGAGAAATACTTGCCTATATCTATGATTGCCATCATGTTGAAAAATCTGTAATTTTTTTTAAATAGTTTGTCAAAGCTTGGACCAGTATACTCGATACGTAAGTAGGGTATTCAGGATTTCTGAATTCCAAGAATGATGAAAAAAATTGATTGCAATATCAGGAACCATGGGAAAACCTCATGAATCTCAAAAATTTGTGGTGTGCAGTGAGACCCCAATAATATGTGGAAACCCTGACATGCAGACAATTCAACTTATAGGGTCCCTAACTTTTCTGAAAATTTCCCAAAAAATCAAAAATTTTTAAAAAATGTTGATAAATTTTGAAGAAATTGACCTATTTATATTCAAAAAATAAAAATATTTCATGATAAGTTCATTCTATTTCATAATGAAAAGTAAGCTGATTTTGTGCTTATTTTTCAGAGTTTTTTTCAATCATCTGTGCATATTCTAGCGAGACTTATTCCTTTTCTTTGCTTTTTTATGTCCTTTTGATACCAAAACATCAGATATGTGCTCTTGTTCTTCACTGTTGTTTCCTACAACTTGAAGTTGAGGAAAAAAAACTTTCGTTTAAATGTTTTTGAGGGATTTTTTTTTTGACAGAAGGAGAACCAATCAAATACATTACAGCATTGAAGTTTAAGGGAAAACAAGACATTGGGACACTCATGATGCACTAATTATGTCCACATCTTGGGGTCTCACTCTAAATGGAATATTTACAAGAGCATGTCAATAGTGTTTCTACTGCTGTAACCTTTAAACAATTTTGTCACAGTGATTAATGACCTAGGGAAACGAAATTTTTGACCTGCCCTGTGATATTTGAATTCATATTAAAATGTGTGAATTATTTACCAGATGATGAACTTATGGAGGACGTGTGCTGCTCTATTGATGATCGTCGCATCAACATCAATAGCTATGGTCATTCCTGGCAACATTCTGATGAAATCAGAGCCCCGACATTCAATGATGAGTCTGGATGATTTCGATGGGATTTCCAAGAAAAACATGGAATACACGTCACAACAAAAGCAAGATGACCAACAGATCTTCGACATTGACGCTGAAAATCAGGCGCAGTTTTGGGCCTTTTTCGATGCCAACCAGCCTCTTGAAATAATCTGCCAGGTATTCAAATTTACTGCATTAAAATTTATACATGGGCATTTATGTAGAAAAAATATTAATACAGAACTGTCTTGATTAATTGTACATTGCAAAAAAATGTTCTTGAGGTCCTTACAGGAATTAAGAGCACAGATTCCAGCCGGAACAAGGAAAGGATATCTTGCTATGTAATGAGCCCATTTGTAGAAATATTTTGAAGCACTTCATAAAATACAGTAAAAATAACCAAGAATTTCCTTCAACTCTGGTTCAAATATATGCACACCACAACTAGTGTATATTTTGTTGCACTTTAAGTACACTTGTTCTGCACCAAGGGTGCACTGATTTGAACTCCTTTGTCAGGCCAGTATTGACAAAGGTGGGTTTATAAAATGAAACAATTTATTCAGCCTTTAGGAGGCCAGATCCTCCTTATTGGAGTTCCTTCTAAATCTTTACTCTCAGCTCACAAGAACAGAACTGTGGGCAAGGGGCACAGTACAATCCTACATGTGGTGCCAGAAACACAAAGATTTTGATGGAATAAATCAACAGGGCAATCAGCCTTTACAAGGCCGGATCCTCCTTACAGGAGTCCCAAGAACAGTTCAAGTTTTAATAGCAATGCTCTAACAACAGTCAGGCAGATAATACAGACACTTCACAGAATAGTCACAAATTCAACAACAGATCAAGAACCATAAATCAGCACAACAGTTTAACACAACAGGGAACTCCTAGGGAGATGCTTCTTTCACAAGATGAAGTCAGCTAGTGACCATACTGGTCATCGCTGGCTTCCTCTACAACTTTGGTTTGGACAACTTTCAAAACAAGTTTCTGCAGCAGGTGAAATTCGGCTGAAGGTAGCGGGAGCTTCCATCCTGCCGTTTTGTACCTCTGGGTGCCAGGCACCGGTTTTTAGAATCCTCCGCAAATATGTTACAAGGGGCTACAAAGTAGCCACGGCACAACCCAACACTACACAAAGGTTCTAAACATACAATCTGCACACACGCACAGACACTGTCATATGCAAAAATCCTCCAAGGCAGGTGGTCCTCAGAGCTTGAGGCAAAGCTAGCTAGTGATGCTGGCTTTGCTGGAAGTTTTGGTCTTGATCTGTCCAATTTGTGATTGCTACCAGTTTACTGCATTGCAGTAAACCGGTGCATTGCAGTACTGCATTGCAGTAAACCAGGTATATTGGGCATGCACGCTAACGTTCACTATAATACTTAAAATTCTCAGAACTATTCTCCCCTCCTCAAAATCGCAGTGCCAGGCACAACCTGGTACCGGTTACGGTGTCAGGATGTACCTGGCACCGTAGCATCCTCAATGACTACCTTTTCTGTAAATAGCATCCTTGATGACTACTTTTTCTTGTTGCCATTAGAGTTGTAAAACCTTATGAAGGTTTCTAATTGAAAATACTATATAAGTCTCATCCTCATACTCTTTTCATTAGATCAGTTGTGTTCAACTGTGCGTGTATCCAAGCCCAAGCTCATTGAGTTGTTATTCGTTGTTATCCATTTATTCCTGAAATATATTTAATTGCTTAAACTAGGAATTCCTAATAGGAATCCTGGTCCTGTCCCGGACTGACCAACTGGTTTCATTTATCCAACACTCGACACCAAATTATATTGGAGACTCTGTCCTCAATAAGGTACACAGCAGGGATTTCTGCTGCGCATGCCTTTTTTGCCACATGGTCCAAGCACGCCCAAGCACAGATGCTTTTCTCAGGTTGCGCCCTCTGGTGCAACCCCACTAAAGCCCCCCCTTTGGATCCTGCTGGCTGGTAGGCTGGCAGGGGCCAAAGGACTCAGGAACTGGGGTTGTGCAGATGTTGCTTGAGCAGGGGCAGTTGGCCAGGTTCGCACATGTGCCAGCAGGTTGAGGAGTTGCATCCTCAATTGGAATGTGTGCCAGGAAATGGTGGCCTGCGTCTGTGCCTTGCTGGTCCTAGAACAAAGGACCAAGACTGGTCAGTGCTGGCAGTCAAGTGTTGGTAGTTGGGGCCTTTGGCTGCCAAAAAAAAGTGTCTGTTAAAAAAAAACCATTGTGTCCCCAAGTTGCAAAGTCTCCCAAGTGCATACATTCCTATACCCAAGTCTGGTAGCCATTGGTTGTTGTTCCATTTGACCATGTCTTGCTGTTGCCCAAGTTCCAAGTGACTTGTCCTTGGTGCTCCTTCTTGTTGTGTGCCAACTTGATTTTGCTCAGGTCATGTGTTGATGTGTGGCTTCCTAGCTAGCTCAGGATTTGGTGTACACCTGAAATTTGCAGGAAAGAGTGATGTGCCTGAGGCTTACCATTGCATGTTGCACCAGCAGGGGTGACCTTTGGGCTGTCCACCGCAGCATTGGGCATCCCCACGTTGTGTGGATGTTTGGGGATTGTCCTCCAAACCCAGCATCATGCAAAGGCCACTGTCATGGAAAGTGCTGCCCTCAATGTACACCCCTCACAAGCAGTGCCCTGGCGCCCCCAACAGGTTCCCAGTGCATGGCATTGGCTCTTCTTGGCACTGCTACAGCAAGCCAGAATCATGAATTGGATAACCATGTGCCCCTTCTCATCAGCCAACTGTGTACCTTCTCTTTCCAGTTTTGTGCCACTTTACTTGCAGCATTTGGAAAGTGCAAAGACCATAACAACAGAGTGCTTGCATAACAGCATTGATTTGTCACATTTTGCAAAGACCATGCATTGCCACTGTCATCAACAGATTGACATTGTCAGCCAACACCCACTTGTCAGGAGAACCATCAGGAGAACCTCTGTGATCTGTTTGATTGCAGCATGGATGCGCCATGCAAGTGCAAACCAAGAGGGGACCCACCAGAGCCCAGCAAGTTCCCCTGGACAGACAACAACACCCAGGAAATAATTTACCCATATTTTCACCCGTAAATCACCCGTCATACGCAGGTAGCAGTCACCCGTATTGGAATATGGGTACTGGGTTGAAAAAATATGGGTGATCACCTATGAAACTACCCATTTTGGAATACAGGGGTTTTTAAGGGTGAATGTGCTGAGCACCCGTATGCTTCTTAGGCCTGCTTTGTTAAAATTTAACTGAGATTCAGCTGTGATATATCCATGAAACACCCGTATTTTTGAAAACAGGTGAAAAATAAACAGTGTGCGCCATTTATTCAGCTGTATAAGTAGATGCCATTTATACAGCATTTATCTAGTGGCCCACATGCTGTATAAAAATTCCATGAGAATGAACAGCCCTCTTTCAGGCAAATTTGTCACAGGGCTTCTGCACAAATTCCCAAGTTTTGGGTAATTCAGTGCCTCATAAAAGCAAGGGACCCCTGCCAATTTTCAGGGGAACCATCCTTTTGATGGCTCAACTGCCTTCAGATGGTTTTGCCATTTGTCTTTTGGCATGCCAATCCACATTGGCGTGCCTTTCAGAAATATAATCCTACAGTCTCAAAACTTTGGGAAGACCCAATACATTTTGTCAAGAACAAGACACCAGAATTGACTCAGTAAAGGAATTCTTCACAAATTTGATTCCTGCTGTGCCATACTTTTTTTTTATTTAAGCACTGTAATCAAGTCATAAAATGAAACAATAACCAACTCAGTCTACCCCATTTTCCAAGGGTATGCGGTTTTTGCTTCTGGTTTCAGGGGCCTGGAATTCCATTTCAACAGAATATTTCCATAAACAATTTTTTGTCTAATGGAATCAACATTCATTGAAAAAAAAAAATCGGCCGTTATTCATAATAAAATGGGCAAGAAACAACTATAGAAAATGACTCACACTATGGACGCATCTATATTTCTCAAATTTTACTCCCACATGTCTTTTTTTCGGTGGAAATATCCTTGGACATTGATCTTTCAATTTTCTCCAGGAAATGGACTGGAATGTGCCAAAGAAACGGGTGAAAAGATGCAAGAGATAGGTTCCGAAGTTCCACGGAAGTCGCGCCCAATTCCCTGACTTGAAAATTTCCCAAGCCTTATTGCACCCACAAATTCCGATTGACATGGAAGAAATCGTTTCTTCGGCATTCCAAGATCACATCAAGGATGCTTTACTCAATCCGAAGCAAACTGTGACTGAATTTGAATTTTCCGAAAAATCTGGATTCCCTGATATTGAATCCAACGAACAGCCTCTCTTGCGAGATTCTGGGGTTCAAAGGAAATCACTTATTGTCAATCACTTCAAGAAATATTCAGAAGGGCCGATAGTTGAAAAAAAAATTTGTGGATGAGAATTTTTTTTTGACAATACCTATCATTGAGCAAGAAATTTGTGTGGAGTATACATGATGTGATTTTCTGGTGATGGGCAATTATACATTTATGCCATGTTGTATTTTCAAGTGAAATAAAGTTTTCTTTGTATCAGTTCTGGAGGCAAATTCACAATATTGTTGGTTAGTAAAGGGATGAAAGCAAACTACAGTGAGACCCCCACATGCGGATGCCTTGACATGGGGATGATTTGACATGGGGATGATTCAACATGGGGACATTTATTTTTCAACAAAAAAATCATAAAAAGGACCTGACATGAGGACACTGACTCAACCTGGGGACGTTGCAGGATAAAATTCCAAAATAAATTTTAGGAAAATCGATTTTTATAAGGCTTATTTGCAAGAAACAGATGTTTCCAACCTAAGATCTATGCAAGAAAAATTCTTTGGTACTTTTCCCATCATTTTCCCATCCATTCAGCTAATTTAAAAAATGCCCTATAGCACAGAGGGACGCATCTAGCTCTCTTTGTGACATGGATTTTATTTTTCCAGATGCCAACTTTTCAATTTACTGTACAGAGGTACACTATTCAATGTTCAAAATGTTCTTATTGGTTTGAAAAGATATTCATTGAATCAAATTCAAGTGGCAAATTTTTTTTTCATGAAATTCTGAAGAATGTTTCTTCCATATAACACCAATTGAAAATTATACAATGTAAGTCTATGGGAAAACAAGATTTGACTTGGGGACAACCCGACATAGGGACAATCTTGATGCACCAATTATGTCCGCATCTAAGGGTCTCACTCTAGTTGCAATTTGCCAATTTGTGGTACAAAAAAGAGTCAAAATAGAAAGCAAAAAGCACATACCCTATACTGTTTAGTGGTTGACTGCTACAAAATAAATTTGTAGAGTGAATATGCACAATTGTGATGGCATTTTTAAAAACTGTTTTATGCACTGTGAGCAAGCCTAAGGACTGGTTAAATTAAATTGCAGGTTGTCAGTTTATAAGTTTGCGACATTTTCAAGTTTGTTATAGTTATATCATTGCATATGTTATGTTATTTACCAAACAGCTGCTGAGCTTCTTTATCTGCTGGCCACAACTTATTTTCTCAAGAAAATGGCCTAAATCAAGTTTTGCAAAGCTAAAATTGACACTATCAAATTTATTGTTGAAACTTCCTGAGTTTTCTACAATTGGATCAACTTTGAGCCAAGGAAAAATTGTCTGATTTTTGTCTTCACCCACAGGAACGCTAATCTGTTACAGATTTCATTCCACCTTTTGGGAGCACAAGTAGACCCATGGTCCAATGCTCAAGTGAGCACCTAAAACTAACTTGATAGAATAATTTACCTGAGCTTATCTCAACCAGCAATGGATATCTACTGAAACTGCAGCCAGTGAAATACAGTTCTGGAGCCCCAATCAATATTCTGGCATCAATTACTTCTAAGACTGTGCTCATGAAAGGAGAAGCTCTCCTGTTTGATAAAAAGGCAAAAATCCTCTTAACAATTAAATGAGAAATGTTTTTCTTAACCTTTGAATGCAGTTAACACCCTGTGCACATGAAAACCACAAAAATAGCTCATTTTTGGCATAAACAGAGTCATGTTCCCACATCATCCAAACCCACACTCCTCATCCCCACCCACATTCATTGAAACACATTCCATCACATCAGAATGAGAAATAAAGAAATATGCTGTATATGGATATTAAAAGAAAGGAAAATGCATCCCAAAATGTACAATTGCACAACTGATTCAAATACATGAACTTTCTTCCATTGGTTGGAAAAACAAAATATCAGTACTAAGAATTGCAGCCTAGGGCAATCACGAAACCCAAATTAAAGCACAAGGTGTTCAGTCTGCAACACCTTTGTGGGATAACTTATCTTTATAAGGATAAATTAAAATTAGGTAAATCATGTGTTTCCTGTGTGTTGCAACACTTGGAGGTGAACCTGACATGTTACATTCTTTCATCTTTTGCATCAAATATTACAGTGATATACATTGACAGTCAACCTGCAATTTAGTGCTGCCAGGCATCCACATTTGTTGGGGCACATTTATGCCAATGTTCTCTACTTGAACTAGGAATAAATGTAGCATACCCTGCAAGAACTCTGATCACACTTGAAAATGCTGTGGTTTACTATATACTCATCATCCTGTCCTTGACACAGAAACTGTTCCTAAATTTTTTTTTTCATGCCCAGCCATCTGTTAATGACCCTATATTGCAATACCATGTCTTGCCAAGCTGACCGCGCGCAAAAAATGATTGATGACGTCCTGCCCATTCTCATGAAGAACACCTGTCACCCACTGGCAGAAACTCTGGCAAAACTGGTACGATACTGATCTTGACATACAGCACACGCTCAGCTGTATCCTCAGCACGTTTTTTAGATTTATCAACAACCAGATGCACAATTCAGCTAACGTACGAGAGTAGAAATTTGGTAGAAGTGAGCATGTGAGAATTCTCTGGAAATCTATTAAAAAGCAACTCATGAATTCTTGAATCAGTTATGATGAGTAAACGGTTCAATGACGCTTTTCGTTGATGGAAATTTATTCATTCTTCCACCTGTGGAAGAAAAATTGTGCGTATAAAAAAAAAAAATATATATATATTTATATATATGAAAGGCAGCAGGAAATGATAAATGAGCAAAAACCATCAAATTGATTTGATGATTCCAAAATTTCCTACTTTTACTCGAAAATCGGATTGAAGAAC